TTTTTTTGTCTATATTAAAATTAGACTAACTTTGCTTTTTGTGTCTTTGGCAGCCACTTTAAAAGCCTTAAACTCTGAGAAAAGATCCTTAATCTTACAACCTTGGAACAAACTCCCACAGTTAAATAACTGCAACTACACTTGTGTTGTATTCTAAGCTGCAAGCTGAACAGTGATCTCCAAGTTCAAATGTCTCTTTCCATCATGATTGACTGCTGACTCCTCTCAAACTCATTCCATAGAAATTTTGATCCAAGTGAAATGGACTGGCTGCAAGGCACTTACTGTCAAGAGGATCCTATTGTGCTTATTTGTCACTTTAATACCAGAAATTTGGTTTTCATTAAATGAATGTCAAATGGAATTTGGGCCTCAATTTATTTTGTGCAACATCACTCGAGATTCTTATTCCACAGCTGCTGGTTGGTTAACCCTCTCTGGAAAGACAAAACAGCTAAAAGGAAAGCAGAGAAATATGTCATCGAGGCTCTAAAACATTGGAAACTGGGGAATAACGAATATGCATAATACATGCCAAGAGAAAGCGTGCGATTTGGCTCATTTCCGTGTCCGTCACAGTGAGAAGTGCAACAAGGCCAATAAAAAGTTGATGGGAGGTTGCATCCAGGGGGCCGAGTTTCTTTATCCGGGGGGAGAAACTGCCTCCTCATCACAGCAGAGGAGTGTGACCTCTGAAACGTGTGTGTGCGTGCTCTCCTTAAGCCCTCACAAAATGTCAATTCTTATGACATCCTGTCAAGCGCAGCACAAACAAGGACACCAACGCGCTTAATTACAATCTATACGTCCTGTCAGGAGGCAATCCCTCCCGGAGCTGGGCACCGTTCAGAGCGAGACCGTTGACCGGAAACACAGAGTGGTTTAGACAGTGATGTGTTCTCAAGAGGTACGAGAACAACAAGTTTTTGAGCTTCGGGTTCCAAGTTCTGTACCACTGGATCATGAAACTGTTAAACTGTGAAATAAATCTCTGTGTGGGGCTATATTTTCTCTCAGTGCGGAATTCTAGGGATTTTTTTTGCGAAAATATGTTTACAGACAAACACATTTTTGAAAAACTGCATCACGGTTTGAAAGTGTGACACTGAGGTGAGAAGCAAAAAGTTTGTCTCCATCTTAACTCCGTAGACCTGAATAGAGTGACACTATAGCTCGTTAAAATGTTCCTTTGGAGCACAGGTGGGACTGTTTCTGTCATTATCGCTGCAGGTTCTGGAAGGAACAACCGGTTTTGAAGACGGACTGTTCAGCCTCTTCGGGATTTCAAGGGTTACAAAGACCCCTCATCAAGTTTGACGACTGAAAACGAATCCCACTATGAGCTTGTTTAGCAATACAAAATGCATCCACACACATCTGATAAACTGACCACACTAATGTGGGTTGAATGAAGAAAACTGGAACTAAAATCAAGCAAAATTTTGAGCCTTAGATCATTATCTTTAGGCCTGAGCGGAAAGCAAACTGTGAATATAGACACGCACAAAACGCTTTGCTTTGCTCTCGGTCACATGCATCGTAAGCTGTGAAGTACCTTCTCGTGATGACGAAAGGCAAGGGGCATAAAATTACTCGGGACACGGGGGCTGATGAAAGGAAAGGACAGGACGAACCGATAGGATGGAGGGAGAAAAAAGGTGGGGGGGGGAAAATCAAGGAAAGAGAAGGCTGTCAAACGAGAGGTGAGAGAAATGATCTGGAACAAAGGAGAAAAAAAAAGGCCTTATTAGTTCTGGTTCGAGTAGAGAGAGAAGTGAAAGGTTAGTTAAGCAGGGTTTCTTCTGATATCTCATTACAAATGCTGGTCTTTATCAGCTCCCTTCAACATCGCCTCCAGCAGCTGAACTTTCTATCAATGTCAGTTTGACCGCAGATGGGGTTTACGACATTTTCCTGAAATGACACGCTCAGAAAAGGCCATTTCACATGAGGATTTTAAAAGAATCGTATCAAATCATAATTTTGAATTACAGATCATACAACCGAGAGGGTTTCAGAAAGGTGATCAAGAACACGGTGGCAGGGAGAGGAGGATCTTTTCCTCGTCTGTGGAGGCCCCAGTTTAAACTGTTGCTGCTCTCTACCCGAAAGCGGATGAGAGGAGTCTTACTGCTGTTGATATGGGACTCTGAGTCATTAACAGCACTTTGGCTTTGAAATCAAACAGTTGCGATGGCGAGTCAGAGAAACAAAACCGCAAGGATTCAGAGCTCATATTGGCATGCAGCGTGCAATTAACAAAATAATATGTTTACAAATGAGGTCTACGCTGTCACAGTCTCTGGAGCGTGTAAATGTGTCCATTTGTATGCAGGTGGGGAAGTGTCTGTACTATGTACGAACACATATCTACCGTGGAGTAAAACCACCATGCATAAAAGATGATTTCTAAGCCCTTGCTAGAAACATGGAATCATTTGTAAATATGATGACATACATCGGCTTGGAAATGCGTTAATAATGTGAATACAGGAGAGGAAAAAAAAATGGAGAACTGTGGGGATTGTTATATACTGAATCCCTTAAAGACATTAGGTAAGGAACAAGCTAACAACATTTGACAAGCAGTGCATGGAAAAAAAACAGGGGATGCTGCAAAACCCAACTGTTTCCTTCAGAGCTAATTAGTATCTCCACAGAAAAGGCACAAAGTGATATGCTTATCCATCCATCGGCTTTTTAGAGCCTTCGTCTGGTGTCACCAGGCGAGGGGCGGGCTCTACCTGAGCAGAGCGCAGCCAATGAAATGACTGTACATCTCTGACATGCATGTCTGGAGCCATATGGTTTAAGTTCGGCAAAGTTTTGCGTCCCACGAGGATTTTCTCACCGAAACTCAAGTGTGTCTCAGCCCATTACACTCCCCTCTTCTCTGTCTCTACATATGGTTTGTCTAACCATCTGGCTCAATTAAATCAGCTGAGCACTCCAGGGTACGTACATTTAAAAAAAAAAACTACTGCTTCAGCCTTTCTGACATCTGAAAATGGCTCATAATTTACCTTGAAGTGTAAATTAAATGTAAAGTGTAACTCGAAAGCAACAACTCTTGCTGCTAGATAAGGTTATTTAAGATTTGGATTTATCATGTGTCTTCTGTGTGATTTTGTAACCCGTGTCCGATTTCATGGTATTCTTTTTTTAATGTCTCATTCATTAGGCCACATTTGGTGCTCAGCTATGAACATTTCAGGTGAGTAACCGGTAAAACCGTTCCAGTGGACTGCTGTTATGCTGTGCCGTCAAATAAGTGTTTTGCTTCAGCTGTCATTTGGGTGTTGTGTGCTCCCAGCTGTGGAGAAATACTTACTGCGTCCAAATGCAAAAAGTAATGCTGGTAGAACGCCCTCTATTATATTCTGATGAGATAGACAGCACGGTGATGATGAGACTGCCACTGACAGGGGGCAGAACGGTTTGTCATTATGTTTCCCATCATGGTACATTATGCACGCAGAAAAGTCTGAATAAAACATAGTCTTAACCCATTGTTTGAGACCCAGAAATGTTTTGAGAACAACAAGAAGCCTCCAGCTGCATCTTCCCAAGTGGCCTGAATCTGTCCAAAATAAAGAAATAAATCACTTGACCACAATGCCAAGTCCACGTTAAACTTTCAGCCACAATGAAGAGAATGTGCCACACGCACTAATTATTCATGTTCTCCATGTTTTCTTATTCACTTTGCATGCTTCGTTGGCTGCAGATAATTGAAAAGATTACAGTAAACAGCATACCTGACACCAAACTGTCCGCATTGTGTAAATAAACTTGAATATTTGCTTCAATACTTTTATATGCGGGAAATCTGAGCTGAGCTTCTCAGAGATCTGTTTTAACAACTCCTAACAGCGAAGAATCTCTATTTTATTCCATGTGGACAAACCTGTTGAATACTTCTGAAAGTGGTCTTGTCCAGGAATAAGACGTTTAAAAAAGGATTTTAAAAAAGGATAAACTATATTTTATAATAAATCAGTGCAGAGCCACAGTCGACTGAACCTCAGAAGAAAATCTGTCAGTCCACAGTTTGGTTTTTACTGTAATTGTATTTTTACAGTATTTTTTACTGTATTTATTGTATTTTTTAACTATTTGGAATGGTTTGTGAAAAGACATCTAGGAGACAGAAAAAATAGATAACACCACTAGTTGTCAAATGGGAAAAGAAAATGCTTCCTTTGTTCATTTCAGAGCTGACTGACCATGTTGCTCTAGAATCAGAGACTTGTCTGCCATAAACGGCTTTAAAAGTGTCAACAACTCACAAATGTTTCCAACTGAAATCTTTTTTAATAAAACACATTTACCATTTCAACAACCATATGGCTTCATAGGGAAATTCTCTCACTAATGCCATAATTGGTCACAAGGGACATAACTTATTATTTCTGTTTCCATTTGAAAACAAAATAAAGAAACCTAAATACTGTAACAGGAGCGAGTGTGAAAAACTTTTGGATGAGACCAAATGACAGATCATTTCCAAATCCTCTGAAAACAGATCCCATAGTGCTGCCAGAAATGGAGGAAATTTAAAAGAAGAAGTCATGGAGTACACTTGTTCCATCAAGTAAGAGGGGGGACTGGAAATACAAGTACAGAGTACAGACAAAAAGAGTTGAAGAGCACAGACTGCCTCACACTAATTGTCTCCATGTCGCATTAGAGAATGGAGGAGTGATGGAGGGCTCTAATGGAATAACACCCAGTGTGGTTTGCACACATTAAGAGGTGGAGGTGTTTGTGTGCCGTGTGTGTGGGGGAGCGAGGAGGTGACCACTGGCCAGATGATGACGACCTGTAATGCATTTTGCTGTGACACTGGCGGTGGGCTCTTATAACAGTATGATCACGCATACAGAAATGGTCCAAATGAGCTAAGTGGACAGGTAAGAACAAAAAGGTAGAGGCAAAGAGAGAGCCGTATCATGAAGGAGGAGAACAAGAACATATATGCAGAGACGGTGTCAGGCCGGCTATGGGGAAACAAGGACGGGTGAAACAGAAAGAGGTAGAGAGATGAGGAGTAGAAGACGGGGTGAGGCGGAGAACAGAGGACGCTGTCTTACCACATCAATGAGACTCTCCTGGATCCGGTTCAGAGTCGTCCTCAGTCTGCTGCTGATGAGGCCCAGGCCTGATGACTCATACTGTGGGACGCATACACACAGACAGATACGCAGTCAGTGTCTGTACGGCACGCTCACACTCTTCTCTCTTTATAAAAATAAATAAACACGTGGGGTGCAAAAGTACACGCACACAAACGCAGCAAGATCGGCTCACTCCTAAAATAGTTTAAGACTAAGTGGCCTCTGCTTTGTCAAGCACATGGGTTTGAAAATCAAACAATCACAGAGGTGAAAGCCCAGAGACAGGAGGAGCACGGGCAGGGTAAAGCACAGCAACCTCAACATCCAGATGCCTCTCGAATCCCTCTGGGATGCGCTCGATGTCACTTAAGAAAGCAAATCATGCACATCTGAAGAGCTTCAAACAATCATACCACACACGCTGACAAGTGCTCTGGACTCACAAGCCAGCGCAGCCCGGTATTAGTCATAACACTTCGGATTGCGCTCTTACCAAACAGGCAGGGCCCACCACTCTGGCAGGAGCCGCCTCTCTCCCACCATAAGTGGGCAAAGAAGGGCTTGGGACAGGCTATGGATGGCGGATGGGATGCAGACAGGAAAAAAAAAAAACAAGAAGCACAAGCTAAAACACTTGAAAGTGCAGCACTGTGAAGAAAGTACAAAACAGAACTGGAAAAAAAAAGAAGAAAGCAAGCAAACAGCATCTGGCTAATATAAATAACCAGGAGTAACTGGTTACTGACTGTACACATCTAGCTGCTGTCAATCACAAAAAACATGTTCAAACACGGGAAACTGCGGATCAGCCAGGTGAGATGAGGAAAAAAAGGACTTTGGAGAACGACTCGACAGAGGATAGAAGATAAGTGATGGAGTCTGAATGGGGTTTCATTCTAAATTGCAGGTGCCCGTCAGTGTGAGATAATATCCAATGTATGGTACCTTTGGGAGGTCAAGGCTTCAGAGAAGAAAGTTATCTAGTTCTTGGATTATCGCTCACTGTTAAGAGGAGCCAGTCAAGTGTCAGACATTTTCCTGAGGTGCCCTCTCTTCTTCAGTGTTTTCTTAGGAAGCCCTTCACCTCCAACATTCCTGACACTATATTTCAACATGGGTTTCCTTGTACAACTCACTTTCAGATTTTTTTAAATATCCCTTTCATGTCTCCTCCAAGTGCCGACGCTTAAGTGAAATATCCAAGCTATTCTCCTGGGGTGCAACTTTCCGGAGTTTTGAAATAGGTGAATTTGCCTCTCTCGCGGCCCCCAAAGCTTAAAGCATCAGTATTCCTAGCCATGGAGATTCTGGGAGCAAATCACACTGTGCAATTAAAGCATTTGTGAGACAATGTAGACAGTGGGGCTGTACACATGGTTAATTGCCGTATTTTCCCTTTTAAATATTAATGACCAGCCATTACTCTTTGAGTGGAGAAGTCAAGCAGCTCCGTCTGGATTCCAGGGGAGTAAAAAGAGCAGAGTCTAGGTCAAAACACCAGCATATGCACGGGGCAATCTCTGGAAGCTTTTTAAAGATTCATGGCGACATTAGCATTTTACTGTCCATGTCTCTTTGGCTGAGACCCATTAATGAAATGGCTGGGTTTAAGGATAGCGGTTAAAAGCAGAAAGTGAGTTACAGAGAGATACACTGAACATAGAGATGGAGTGAGCTGGCATGGGAGCGCTGAGAGTAAAAGTGACATGGTGAGAGGAAATAAACAAATAAATAAAGATGTGGAAATAGCGGACTAGGTTGGCAAAATTAGGCTGAGCATTAGAATTATAGATAAAAGAGTGAAGGGATAAATTGTAAAGCAATGCTAACTGATAAACCTTCAAAACAATATTTTGACACACGTTAGCATCCTGTGCACGGAGCCAGAGAGTCTAAACAGAGAAATATCATAAAAGTGACAATGACAATTTAGCATCTCTCAAACTTTCCTCATCTCATTTCAACACCCAGCCACACACATAAACATCTCGATAATCTGAATAAAAGATGCCCCCTAGGAGCATTCTTCCTCTATGTTTTCTATCTCCATGGGACAGATGTATTTTTGATGCTATCATTACAACCTCCCTGAGGGTGATAAAGCAACAAATGCTGTTTTTCATTCTGTCAGGCACACTATAAATGACACGAAAGGCTTTAAACGGAGTGGACAGACGGGGGCTCGCAGTGGCAACCTACTGCTCAGCTGGACTTCTTTCGATTTTTTTCTTACCATGGCAGACAGTAAAGAGGAAGTATTAAAAGAAACAGCTATCATTCTGTCTCTCACTCTATATAATCTAATAAAGACAACAGATTTCCATCTGTAGAGATAATAAATGCAATTGTCTTAGTGCAGCGAAGGTTCAACTTCAGTACACAGGTTATATAGACTGCGTCTGGGGGGGAAATATATGAAAGTAAAACAGAACATCTACACAGGAACACCATAAACAACAGTGTAACAAGGGATGAAAGCAAAAACTGAATTGCTTGTGGGCTGTAAATGATGGAACTCCCATCTCTTTCTTTTCTCTAGAACTATCAAAAACGCAACACAGTGGCACAACACCAGGCACCTCACAACTATTATTAGTTATTCTGGTCTATTCTGGTTTTTATAGGGCACTTCATTGTCTTTATTAGAAAACAGAGACATAAAATGACACAAACCTGGGCTCATATGAGACGTATACATTATTTTTTACCTTTTATCTCAAGATGACCATTGTTCTCTGATTCAAAGACTGAAAATACTGAGGCTTAAACATTTTTGCCCCTTTCTTTTAAAGGTTGCAGAAATCAAATTTGAATTGAAATGTGATGTCTAAATTGCAAATCTACATATGTTCAAATATAAAAACGCCCAAAATATGTGTATTGGTTATGAAATGGTAAAAACAGGTGATATTCAGCTAAATATTTTTTTTAAATGTCAGTGTGAAGCCCAAGAATGTCTTCACTAATGACTGTGTTACTGTTTCAATGTGCTTTGCTCTCCCCAATGTGCACTATCAAAATGCTGAAAACTTATATGCAAAGTCTCAAGGGTAAGGATTCAGGAAAAGCATTCTTTGATTTTATGCCAGAGAAAAATGCCGCTACAAAAGCCAGCTGGTAAGCGTTGGATCATTACCTTGATAGCTGACAGAGAAAGTTTTGTCGTTTGAATTATCTTTTTTTAAGGTCCTTCAAATTTTTTAAAAAATCCTCTCCACTCAAAATGAACTTTTCTATCCCGATGTCCAAGCTAAACGACTGTAAGAAGAAAAAACTAGTCCAAGATCAAAGACAGTTAATACAAACTTGAAGATGTTCTTTAAACCACAAAAAGTTTAGGTTCTAGATGGAAAAGAAGAAGCCAAGACAAACATGAAGTACCATACCATGTCATTGCGTCCAAAAAAGGTGTATACAGCATAAAGGTAGTAGTCAAAGAGCTGTGACACACAGTGGATGACATCAAAGGCGATCGGTTTCAGAATGTTCATCATCTGCAGGTACTTTCCTGTATGAAGAGGACCAAGAAAAAGCTAAAGAAACATGTATATATACATTTACAAGATAGATATGACCAGAAATGATATATATAAAGTATTATGATTGTATTACAAAGAGCACAGTTTGATCCAGTGAGACATTCAGATCGTTTCTGTGTTTTTAGGTATTTATGACATGGTTCATAACCAAGCCCCAAGCATTTGTTCCCAAAGAATGATACGCCTTTGTTCTTAAGTAAATCTTTTCAGACTTTCTGAGGAGTTAAACGACAGTAAGTTAATCATGATGGGCCTACATCCTTCAGGGGGGATATTACGCAGGAGCATGTTGAATTAGCATACAGATTGCAAGGATTTAATTTAGCACAAAGGTAATAAAAGCTATAAATAGGGAGGTACAGAGGTGTAACGAGGTTACCACTGACTCAGAACTGATGAGGATAAAAAATATACATAAATTCAATGTTGCTGGCATTTCCACTGAAACAGAACATATTCCCCACACTCTTCTTTTTACAACCTTTCTCTTAAATTTTGTACAGACAACTCAATCAAATTCCACTACAGTCCTGGAGGGTGTGAATTAGAACCAAAACATGGAATCAAACGCTGGTGTTTTCTTAACTTAATTTTCCCCACAAAGCTCTGAATCACTATAACTTATCCCATGAAATAAAGCAAAAGGAAAAAATCAACTTTTTGTTCCCTCAGGTCTCTGCAGACAATGACACAAAAAAGATAATCTACCATGATTTGATTTTCTCACAAAAAAAAAAAAAAACATTTCATGAGGATTGTGCAACACAGTGCACTCTTAATCAATAATGCACCCAAATGTCCTAAAAATCACATGACTAAAACATGCGAGTTCCTCTCTGGAAATGGAAGGTCAGCGCTCAGGGCGAAGGCTAACTGTTATTAGTGCGGCGCAGTCACACAGTTACAGAGTTAGCCGGTCGCAGTGATTTGATTAATTGATTAATAAATTGAAATCTCAGCAGGCCGGAGGGAACAGGCTCTGTGGGTCTGGGCTGATCTGGAGGGGGGTTCAGTGTGGTTGTGTGTGTGTGTGTGTGTGTTATACCTACCGACAAGCCTGATGACATTGAGGGTGGTGTTGGTGAGAATCGGGGCGTTGGTCTTGTTGAGGTTGTAGTCCGACCTTTTCTTGCTTCTCACGGTGTCTCGGGACACACTGAAGCATGCCGGGGAGACAAAACAGGGTGGAACCAGGCAAGAGCAATTAACCCCTATACATGTTAACACTGCTAACTCTCTGCAGTAACAAGTCCAGCTCAAAACCTTTCGCATGGGTGATAGACTTCTAATTGATCAATCAGGAGCCATTACACATGACAGGAAACGCAGACGGACCCGACAGGTGAAGTGTCTGAACCGGTGATCCGGGAGCACTGGATCCCTGACACAGAGCTCACTCAGGCATATTAGCAGCCAGTCATTACACAGGCTATCTTATGTATCTATGTGGCCCTGCAACCCACTCAATGATTAGCCATTAGTAATCCCTGTTAATAAAAAGGGTACATTAGCATTAAAGTGCTTATAAATCAGGTTTATTTAAATGAGCTTGCAAATAGGAAGCGTAGTAATACATGAAGCAATTAGATCACTTATGTCAGGCTAAGAAATATTCCAATAAAAGACACTTGTGGTGTCAAAAACATGGCTGTTTTTTGACATTTTACACATATAGATTCTTAGCTTATGTTATCCAGCTTGTTTAAATCGTGCATCAATACGCAGAGACACACACATACACCACAATAAATAAGTTGTTTTAAAAACTCAATACAACAGCTGAATAATTACAGAATTAGGATCTAGACTTTCTCAACTGGGTTTAACTTTCTCTCCCCAATATTAATAAATACTTTATACACACAAGAGGAACTGATGATTGCCTCCACCTTTGTCAGACAGTATTCAATCGTTCAATAGCAATCAAAAATAAAGTTGTCAATGGAAAATAATTTTTCATGGGAAGATTTTTCATGGGAAGAAAAGTACCTTTTAACAGCTTCCTGCCAGGAAATTAACTCAAATTATTACATTATAAGTGTGAAGACTGGCTTAAGGCATACTTTCACATACGTTTGCAGCTGTGTTCAGGGAGAGATGGAGAGAGATTCTTCTACTGAAATAAGTGTTTAAACACTCTGGGCTGCTGCTATAAAGTGTGTAGGTTTGTGTTCACCTGAAGAGTCAGAAACTGATTACCCATTCCCTGACCTGTGTGTCAGTTTGATGCAAAATACTCTGACAGCTTGACTTAGAACTGACCTCTTTAGAGGGGCATCGCCCGTCTGCTCATCAACATAGTCCTGTTTGAGCTCCTCAGCGACATCGCTGTCACTGTCGTAGTCCTGATACACACTCTTCTCCAGCTCGTCTGACTCATACTTGGAGAACAGGGAGGAAACAGAGCGGATTTACCTCACGGAGATAATGTCGGTTCAGAATCTACAAAGTTCAACATTGCAATCAAGTGACAAGCTTGAGATGGAAAAGGATATTGTTAAGTTCAAATTCATTTCTTAAATAGGACAATATTGCCTCTGTAAGGCAGAGTTCAGTATATTACTGGCTTACAATCTTAATATTAAACCCAGACAAAGGATTTTGAAAGCCTTCTATGCTAATTCCTGCTAGGTTTTCTGAGGTGTTGAAACAGATAACAAAAATGTATCACCATGAGGCTCAGTCTGGTTGTCAGGGCTTACCCCAATAAATGAACCTCAAAGAAAAAAATGGATTTTGGCCTTAACACTACGGTAGTCATGGAAGGAGCACATGCAGCTAACATCCAGAGCAAAAGGCAATTTTCACTGGATCACGGCTCTGTTGATCTTGGTAAACCCTTCACAACGCACGCTGACAGACGAGCAGTGCAGCGCCTTTTTTCTGTCAATTTTTATGGTGCAAAAGAAGTCTGAAAAGCATGTTTTTCTAAGAAATGAGAAATGAATACCATATGAGTGGATTGGATACTGAGGAAACCTGTAAATGCAGGGTCTAGTCTTCACTACTTATAGTTAAAATATTACAAATCAGCCTGTTGCTGAAACTAGAAAAGACAAAATGCGATCTATAGACATAAATGTTGGATAAAGAAGATGAATATAAGTAATGAAACCCTATGACACAGCTTGATGCATAAAAATAAATTGCCAGAACGGTCATACATTAATCCCATAGTTTAGTCAGTCTCAAAATCTCCAACATATCTGATCTGGATATTTTTAGACATTGAATAGAACACTTTGCCTATCCATTTTATTTCTTAGCACATACCCCGTTAGATGCAAGGACATCCTCTGTCTCTTCTTCTTTTTGCTCAATGTGCATCTCAAAGGGGTTCCCCTCCTGGAGAAACTGCTGGAACAGCAGCAGCTCCTCCTGGGCCGGAGCAGACGAGTACACGGCCTGTCTGCTCGGTGAGACGGACGGAGAGCGACACTGGCCCATGAACTTAAACTCCTGAAGCAGAGCGGATGGAAAAAAGATGGGCCACAGATGCAACTGGTGAATTTCAATATCTATGAATACACTTGTTTTTTAAAGAGCGACGGTGGTGGAAAATAAATTGGAATAATGAGGAATAATGAGCACTTCGAGCATCCATGAACCAGATATTTTAATCACAATCTCCTTGGCCTTAAGACACAAGTGTCTTTGTTTCTTACTAAATGTGGCTAGTTCTGTTGAGAAAGCATGAATACATTTGAAAATGCAAGCTAAGATTTCTATACAAAAACATCAAGAATTAAAAAAGGAAGAAGCAGATTGTAACACCGTGTCATCCACAGTGTGCCAAAGAGCACAATAATATTGGCGTAAACGTGATTTGAAGGCTCATTTGAGCTTCATCTGGCCTCTGCAGTGTGCACTGAACACGCACATTGTTATGTAAATTTCACAGTGGTGGGCTGCGAGATTGAGTGACAGCATGGGATAAAATAATGCTGCCAGTCTTCACCTTCTCGCTTCTGTGATGTGTTTCTTACTCACATGGAGCTGGGCGATGTTGAAGTTCGACTTGACTGGACACAGCTCCCACGTCTCATTCTCCAGAAACATCCTCAGCTCTTCCAGCCGTGCCCTGGAAGGTTGTGCAGAAACAAAGAAAACATAAATAGGGGAAGACGAATTTGTATGGTAATTAGCCAATGTAATTTCATATATTCAGAAGGCCCCTGTGCTCTGACGGTTTCTATTAAAATAACAGACTAAAGGAAAACCGGCAAAGGTCACGGGCACTCGGCGAACGGGAGAAGGGGGTGGGGGTTGTGAGATGTCTGTGTAAGTTTCTGCGTGTTCACAGCTCAGAGCAGCCACCCCGGTGCTCACCTGCCAGGCTAATAACAGGTCACTCTGTGTGAAATGTCAGCTCGGTGTTGGCTTCAAACACAGCCTCAGCCCTTAGCCTTGTTGTTACAAATATGAGAGGTGATAAAACACAGACGAAAGGGACACGGAAAAAGAGCAGCATATGGCTGACAGGGATAAAGTGTGGCAAAGTAGTCGTATATCTCCCAAAATATGTTATCGAGCGCTATTTTTAAAGCTCAGTGGACGGAGAAGCAAAGCAGCAACTAAAAGAGGGATGACATAATTTACAAAAACAGAAACATTTTTGTAAATTATGTGAATGCTTCTCCTAAATTTGCTGATTGCTGAATTCTTGTGGAATGACTGCAGACTGGAAAATGAATCAAACTCAGTGCACACTGAACTGGACCCTGAAAGCCTCCTTGACTGCAGTTGGAATATAAAATACCTTCTGTCCTGCTGGTCCTCCACCTTCTCCTCCTCCTCTCCATCTCTGGGTCAGTCACCTCTTTCTCTCTTTTTTTGCAGATACCAGCTCAATTTCACACCAAGATCACCGCAAACCCAAAGTCATATTTCATCATGTTTCCTACTTCTTTGTGTGTTGCCCTTTTTAGTTTCAGAGGGGGCGCTTTCCAGTCACGACTGTGACACTTGTTAGAAACATGATATTTAAGCATTTTATCAATGATCTTTGATGGATAACCTTAACTCTGATTAATGCAGGTCATCTATGATAATGTGCCGCTGTTTGTGTCAAAGAATACATATTTATGAGGTTGGCAGGGGGCTTATGCAATCAAGATGGAAATGGGCTTTCTTCTCAGTGAGAGTTGCAATGCAATTACACCTCTACTCCGAAAGGGAGAGAGTTTCAGAGGCAGCCAGCAGTTGCTAAGTTGTGTTGGGATTCATCTCAAGAGACAAAAACAAACTGTATCCAGGACCTATGTCTACATTTTATATCATTTTTATTGAAGCAGTTCTGTAAAAGCATATGCTACCACTTCAACATGATCATATGCAGAAGACTGCGTCATCTCACCTGTGATAGTTCTTGAAGTAGTTAATACTCTGGCGTTTGATGGACTCCTGCAGGACCTCTGACTTACTGCCACAGAACTCCTCACCAACCTGCATCAGCCTGAAAGAGAAGAAGGAGCAAATTCTAATGAACACAGAAGTTCTGGGAATAGATGTACTTCATTGAAGACAGGCCGTGGGGATTTTGGAACTGGACTAACCAGAAGTGACAGACTAAATATTTCAAAATCCAACCACACCACACACCAGTATGTACAGTAAAAACTCCTAATTGTGGCTGTTGTTTTGGGTAATGAGACTAATCAATACATTAACAGTAGGTCTTGTTTTGGCTTTTTTCTATCCATAAAACTGTTAGAGCTGGGCTCTGCTTACATTCCCCAAAAGACTAACATTGTCGAAACTACACAAGACTGGAAAAAAGGCCAACAACTGTAATGAGGGTGGATCAATTCCTATTAATGCAATCCGTTCATTTGAATTAAATTGTAGTATCATCATTATAATCAGATTGGTATTAGTGTAAAAGTCTTATTTGTCACAGTTCCTCTTGTAAGTACGCTTAAATGAATATAAAAATGAACAGAGAGGTGTGTTCATAAGTGGCTGTGCCTAATTTCAGTGGATTCATTAGTTTGTGACTGACAGAGTCCACATGGGGAAAGTGCTGTAGCTCAACCTGATTAATGTGATGCTTGTAGGGGGTGATAGACAATGAAAAGCAATTAGCGATAACACACCGCCTGCCACACTGATTCTGAGGTGTACCTGCTGATGACATCCAGAACCACGATGAAATCGTCGTATTTAAAGTTAGACATGTCTGTTCCCAGGATGTAGGCTTTCACTTTCAACTGGACATCCTGTGGAGGGAAGTTAAAGGGTGATTATGTGGAAGGAGAACTATGAAGTACGTAAAAGAAAAAAATGAAAAAGAAAAGAAAAGCAGAGTGGGAGAAAAGAAAGAAAATGAAAGAGGACTGTAGACTCTTTCAAACCTGCCAGATCCGAGTCAGTCCATGCTCTAGCTTCTTTTTCACATAGCTACGGTCCACTGTCAACTCATCCGACTCTGTTGTTACAGCATCATCTGAAAGTAAGCGAAAGGGGGAGAAAAAGATCAAAACTTTAAAAAAAAAAAAATCTAAAAAAGGGAAAACTCTGTGACCAGAATTCTGTTTATTTGATTAAATCATTCTTTAGTGCTTGAGTACCATTACACATGAACAAAGTGAAGCACAAGAGAAAAAGATAAAAGTAAATCTCCTGATAACGCCACAGAAAAGGCATTATACGATGAATGGGAAAATGTTTTTGATCTGTCAATCTGGCGAAAAGTCCTTCGGTGTCAGCTCATGACTCAGCTGTCGTAGCGCCTGCCAGTCGGCATCTGACAAGAGAGAAGGTCATGTACTCCCAGCAGAGTCCAAAGAGAGACAGAGGCTCAGAGCTGGGTGACCATTAAAAAGGTGATGGAGTCCTGTTCACTGTCGGGCTCGATTACTCTTTCAGCAGCGGCTCTCCGTCCTGCCTGACGCCTCTGTGTGTGTGTGTGTGTGTGTGTGTGTGTGTGTGTGTGTGTGCGTGTGTGTGTGTGCGTTCGCTTTCGTTCTCACAGTGGAGACGCACCGGCGTGCGGCGCCGCGTTACAGCAACATCGATACTTTCCTCAGGTTGGAAATTGCTCCAATAAATCTCAAGCAGCTTGCCCAGTATGAAATGGATTTTTGGGGAAAGCCGGCAGCATTGAGCCTCTGAGCCAACAAGCAGGCGGCTTTCAATCCAGTTAAATTACATTACTGGAATGCAATTGGACGAGGGGGAAAATGGACTACGCTGGTCAAACGCTACTCTTGGTTGCCCGTTTATTAATAATGGCAATCATTGTCTTAAGAAAACCTTCTTTAAACAGTGCCGAACAATCTTCAAATCGAAAACTAACATCTGCCGACAGTCGTTACTAAACCTATTTACGTTAAAGGAGCACAGCTCATCTCTTATTTAATCTATTCTAATAGTATGTACAGAGGAAACAACTCAGCACAAAAACTAAGAGCGGTGATTGGAAAGCTTTTCAGGGGGAGCACTGCACGCAGCTCTGTACTTGTGGGACCATATTTGTGCGCACTGAGGATGAATGTTCCACCCTGAGCCGGCTTTTCTATTCCTCCTCTCTCCAAAACATTTTTTGGGACTCGGCACAAATTGGGGATAAACTTACAATCGCATCAAAACATGAACAATGCATCTTTATTATTATTTGTCATTTACTCTCATTATGAATACGTCATTCTGCTATTTTATACCTAGATTAAATTGTAAACATAGTCAAAGGAAAGACTTTCCTGTTACTGAGAGTCAACAACTACTTTGAGAAGGGAGAGTAAAAAAGAAGAACGCCATTTTAGAAGTAGACCAAAGTTACATTCTCAATCTCGGAGAATAACACCTCTGCTTCTAACAATGAAGAGTAATTAGCAACTGCGAACGCCATCTAATAGTAATCATCACGCTAAAAGATAGATGCAAGGACAAACTGTGCTTTTGTACCACGAAGTTGAGCGTCAGGAAAATGTTAACCTTAAAGCCCAAAAAAGAATCACACAGAAAAGGCATGAGGACTTTTAACACAGCCAGTTTTATGTGTGTTGTAGGTGAAGGAACTGATCAAATTGTGAGTGGCGGATAATTATTCAAAATAGTGAAGGAAGGTTTTTCGGCTCCTGGAGTCACGAAAAGGTTCTGGAACCCACGGGTGTATTTGGTTTTTCCCACAGAAGAACAGGACTTCTTCTGTGTTTATGTTAAATTCAGTAGTCCATATTTGAGCTTTTGTTCACGGAGTTGTTGATGTTGGATGAAGTCCAAGCGACCACTGTGTGTTAAAACAGCAAAGCATGCGCATGCATGCAGAGACCAAGTCTCAATTTACTGTCGAGTTAGGAAGATCATACATGCGACTTAAAAATAAAGCATCGATTAGTTTTAGAGTGAAACGAAACCCCATAACTTTACTCTGCACCCGCTGCTGTTCAGATCAGTGTTCTGTCCAGCTGTTAACACAGTAAGGGTGTTGAAAGCCTCCCCAGATGGACTGCGTAGGTTGCCTTGTTACTATAAGGGAACGTGGTGATAAATGAGAGAGAAAGCCAGCCTTTGCAGAGCCATAGGTGGTCACCAGTCTTTGACCTTTGAACAGTGAGGCCACAGATCTTGGTGATTCAAACGGAAAACCCTGGCGGAGCTTAGCGCCCCGCTGGTTTCAAACTATGACTCATATGACAAGCAACACAAAACACAAAAACACAGTTTCCGTTAACAGCGTCTCATCTCCATCCTCGCTGTGCAACTATGACAAAAATGACCTGCCAAGTGGTCTTTGTTAGTTCTAAAGCGATTTCCAATAAAAACACTTCACGCACATTTCTGTGCAGCAAATTCATTCAGAAAACAAGGGAGTTTTCTAGTTCACTAGACTGTTCATTCCCAAAGAACCACAGTTTACCAAAAATGCTTCATAGAACACACAAATAGGATGAGTTCTCTCTAATTGTTGCAGGCGACAACAGTGGATATGTCTGTGAAAAATAAAAAAACCAAAAGAATTACATTGAGATTTTCAGGCTCAGTACTAGCTTATACCACGATGTATTGGTTAACGCTCCAAAGGCGTGTCTGTATGAAGTAATGGGTGTTTTCTCTTGTTTTTAATGCAAACCTGATTTTTTGGTTAATCACTGAAAAGGTCTTTGTTCTGAACTTACCCAGCTGACCACTTAGCAGCTTTTGTTGTGATCTCGATCACAGAACTGAGACCATCAAATGTTTGTTTGTTGGTTTGTTTTTTGCTGGTTCACATGGAGCCCATAAATGAATACTTCACAGTCTGGTTGGTCACAACAAAAACCCCATTAAACAAAATAATGTAGAAAAGATTAAATTAGAAACAGACTTTCATTTTGTTCGCTCTATAATATTTCTTAACTTGAGGTCTTGTTCTTTTTTAAGCTGTAATGACTTTTTCTGAGGGAGAACAGAAAGTGCACATCATGCCCTCTCATCGCTTAATTAACCGAGCTTGTATTAGTAAATTTTTTTTACTAAACGACTGAAACTAACATTTGAAAATGAGTGGTCTGCTCTCGTGAATCTTGAGCAGACTGAATCCACTCATTGGATATTTTCGGTGCTGTATATTCTCTTTTTTTTTTAAAGTTATGCTTTATGCGTTTCTTTTTCCACGTGCTGTTATGTGTGTGTCCATCTGTGTGCGTTGCTGTCAAACATTAAAGCTGCTGACAGGAAAGGCAAACAACATTCTGAATCCCATTACAACGCCGGAGCACCGTGGGTCCTTGCATTCAAATGGACCAGCGCAGTGCCCTTTCAGAACACGTATGTCGTAGCTTGCCTCAGTTTATGCCGCCTGAAGGGAACCCGAGGAGCCCAGAAACACGGAAAATCTCATTCATTTTGTTGCCATTTTGAAAAGTACACAGCTATGAGAAGTGCTGAACTGGATTTATGGATCCAGCATTTTTTTCTGGAGGTCATGGTCACAGACTGCATTTTACTGTGTACACAGCAGCTGATTTTTCAGCCATCGTATCCTAAATCACATGTAGACTGAAGTCTCAGACATTCCTCCTGCCTGATAGCATAAAAACTTAGGGCATCGCAACCAGGACCAAAGCCAGTGGGTGGCTCCCAGGTGATAAATCCAGTTTGGAGCCAAAATTAAAAAATAAAATACAAAAAATATAGAGAGAGAGGATCAATATACTAAATTGTGAGAGTTATCCGTCATTCTGAAGTGTTTACAAGCAATTTGAAATTAGGAAGTATGCAAAACTAAGCTAAAAGCATCCAAGATTAAGATATAGATCACTCTTAGTCATCAGCCATTTCCTCTTCATAAGCGGGGCTGACTCGGAGGGCTCAGATGGACTCGTAGAAGACATGGATGTCAATGTCACGTCAAAACACTTCATAAACCCGACTGAGCTTATATAATAAATCAGATCTCTTATGGGGCTCTCTGCCTGCTCCCACAGACACATACAAACAAGAACAAATATCAAAAGTGACAACCGGGACAGGGCCAGGGCTGAGGTCACCTCTGAGCTGAGGACGGGGGTGTCAGCCAATCAACTGGCATGACAGATGTGTCTCATGAAAGGCAATCCAATGTGTTCTTTAGTGTCCGAGGACAATCCTTTGACCTCATCCGCGCACCTAATGAATTGTGTACAGTACAGGAAATGAAAATGAGCCCTCAATAACACTAATATGAAGGATCTCTGTGTCCCTCTCAGACCTGACGGTGGATGGAAATAGTGGAAGGTGAAAGCTGTGGGAAAACAAAAACAGACCCCTTTTTCATTTCAATTAAAACTATTAGCCTGCTTTATCTTGGGGAAAAGATAATAAAACTAAAACAACACCAATTTTACAGAGCACAGCTATCATATAACTGCCAACTGTAGACCACATTTCTTTAACAGTGTGTTCAGAAGTGATTAATGTTCCGCTGACCCTTTCAATTCCCTCTGCACTGACAGGAGAATAAAGACAAAGTGGAGGCTGAAAAACACAACTTAAATGCATACAGTTTACTTCACACATTAAAGCCTCCCTACTCTTCTTAGATGATCTATAGTCCCTCCATTAGCTGCAGAGCAAAGTAAAAGGCAGTCCTTTCCATTAAATGTAAAACCAAAACCAACTTTGAACAATTTTTATTCTCTAGCCTCCTGTATACAAATATAGCAAGTAATGAATATTCCCAATTAAACTAAGATGGAGCAGATTTTTGTCAGTAGAGGTGAACACAAGATTGAAAAACAAAAAAAATAAATTTAAAATGGAGATAAATGCACCGAATGTTAGTCGGTGCCAAACATCTGATCACAGTGTGGGAGAGGTCGTGTTTTCTCTAAGCACTGCTGTATCTTTTATTTCTTAGTCTGTAATTGGAGAAAAACAAACTTCTGCTACAAAACAGCCTTGTGACTTTTTTCTAAATCTTGGGAATTCTGCCTAGCAGGGGTCTGCAAGGTTTCTCATTGAGGGCAGAGTCCCACCTGGAGTGGGCGCGTTCTCCTGCTTGTCGTGCTCCTCGTGCCACTGCATGGTACGGTGGTAGCTCAGCATCACCTCCCACAGAGCCTTACATAGATCTGTCAGGCAGGGAATGTAGCTGTCCAGGGTGATATGCTGCCAAGAAACACAGAAAGTTCAGTAAATCAGAAACAATTTCAGGTGTGGTTTTTCTTTTAATTATTTCATAAGGTCAAAACTGATCATCTTTACAGTTAAAATGGCATTAATATGATTATACTCTCTGTCAAGACATTCGAAAAAATATATAAATATATGTATATATGTAGATATACACACAGTCTGCCTGTGTTACACACCTAATTGTTCCATCATTGATTCTATATAAACATCTGAATCTGTACCACAAAGCAAACAAATCGAATCTGCTTAAAATGTTTGTTTGTTTTTTTTCATTTATTCTTGGAGCTGTGAAAGAAATGTGATTTTGTTTAAGTTGTGTCTCAGCAGAAAGAGAAGTGGGAACGTCTCAGCAGTTTGAACAAACATGCAGCGTTTGTAGGTTCAGGTGGACAATCAGTCACTGTCTCCGTTTGCTTATGACATACCGGCTTTGACACAGTTCACGTGACAAATGACTGGAATGAGTTATGGCTTTCATAAAATCACGGTTTCGAGATTTCACCACATTATCAGGCACTGTGGGCAGCAGATGGAGGTAATGAGTGGCAATTTACAATAATGAGAAAACAGAATAGCTCTCCTCATCCCGCCTGTAACGCAGCTGTTTACTTAAACCTCCACGTCGTAATAAATAAAATATTTGCCTCCCATCTACATATCTGACTATCTGACTGCATGAATGTCATACCCAATTCCTCTGTGACGAGCTCGGCTGGCACAATTATACCGGTCATGGCTTTAAGGAAGAAAGAAAATCAACTGACATAAGCCTTCCCAAAATATTCAGAGGCAAATATTTCAGGGTTAATTAAAAAAAGGGCAGAGAAGCAGCCTTATTTTCCTTTTCTAAACCCAAAACAATTTTATTTTCTTTAAAAATACCTGCTACATTACGTTCATTACAAGCCACACACGTCCTGCGACACAGCCAGAGTAGCCAGCCATCTTTTATTTGATTCTTTTTTCCATTTCCCATGTCTCAAAGAGGCTGAAGGACAAAACAAAAAGCAGCCGGGGTAATCGTTCGGCTGAACATTTCTCAAAAAGACACCTGAAGTTAATTCATAACTGAAAGCACTCAGCAAACAAAAGTATCATGTGCTGGCTGGCTTGGCATATTCTATCAACACATCGCTGCCTCCCAAGGCTGCTGAAAGGCACGAATGGCATCAATCCACTGCTGGAAAACAGTGTGAGAGATGCTGAAGAAGAAAGAAAACAGAAATACAAACCCCCACCAAGCTGAATAAACAAGTGAAAATGAGCTACTTTACCTGTTGAGTTCAACTTGAAAAAAAATGAAGGAAGCTTGTTTTTTTGTGTTTTTTTTCCTGCTGAACAGTAATGATCCTTTATTACTAAATTATCAGACAGAGATGTAATGCTAATATATGTGCTTTCCCGTTTTAAACACGCTCAAAAGGGATGTCGAGAGCTGTGCTGAAAATGATCAGTCATTTGCAATTGAATGGTCAATGTGCGGCACTTAGTGGATCATGAAATTATCTCTGTATCAATGAATTGATCTATTTGTAATTGTAAAGAAAGTAGGTCCACAGGAGCACAAAAAAAAAAACTGTAAAAACTATTAAAAGATGGATTATTTTGATCACTGTTGAATCCTTTTATCTGTATAATTCACTGCACGACTCACCAGTCACCACTAATAACTAGTAAACATAAACACTGGGGCATGTAATAGATCAAATTAAGAATTTACATTTCTATAAAAGGACTTTTAGGAGTGCTTGGGTACACGCTACAACTACAATCTCTAACTTGTTGGAAAAGCAAAGGTAGGAAGGGTGTACTCCCTCTCACATAAAAAGCTTAATTTGCCATGACTGGTCCACCACATTAACTCTACTAGGCTGGGCTGGCCAATTGATGAGCTCTACAGGAAAAAAAAATCCAATAGCTCATACGCTTCGAAACAGAGGGGGGGGATAGTGCAGCCGCCACACCAAACGACTGGAGGTAAAACCGTGTAGTAGAAAACTCTGATTCTGTTGGAAAGCAGATCATGAGCTGCAGCCGTTGCTGCGACTGCGTAGAGTTCAGACTTGAAATGGAATTTGTATCGGTGTCTGTCAGACCGTTGCTGTGAAACGCTCCACAAAAGAGCCAAGGGCATCCATCAGACACAATGCCCAGTCACACGTATCGCACATTAATCCACTAACACTCTTATTTCAGAATCAAACAGGTCTGTAGAATGATATCAATAATATATTTTTACCATCATACAAAATGAGTGACCGGAAAGGCCGTTTTTGTAAAGTTCACTGGTCCAGGAAAGTACATTAATGACATTTAAAGACGCCTTTCTAGGAGTGTGACAATATAAACACACACACAACAGTCCGTAAAATAAACTGTAAATGTAAAAGACGTTAAAAAAAATTAAATAGTTACAGCATCAAATCAAAGGAAACAAAACCTCACATTATCTAATTGGTTTTCCTCATTTCAATGCGGACATTGAAGACAGATAGTAAGTGTTGCACACTTGTAGACTTTGAATACATTATCGAACACAATAGTTCAGTTAATCTTAAAAATTATAAACAGATTCCAGCAGCACAAGTCACATCGGAGAGCTGAGGACCAGCAGAGACACAAAACCTGACGTACACTTTTGTTTCATGTTTACCATCAGCCAATCGTACCGAAGCAGCATGTTGCCAAGCAACACTGAAGAGGGGTGACAGAGTGTGTGGGTTAAGATCTTCATTGAAGCTTAATGAGAGGAAGTAACCTGAGATGTGCCCACACAGAACTGCCCTCCTGTTGTTTGTGTTTGTGCTGCGTGTGTGTGTGTGTGTGTGTGTCTGTTTGTGCGCTGCAGGTGTGTGTTGATGACGGAGTACAAAAGTTGGAGGGTCACGCCTGTGGTTATGAACGCAGTAAACAAAATAATGAAGGAGAAGGTTTGAGATCAGTGTGTTTTGTGAAGACTGTCGTCATCCACACTTCACATGGCCAACACGGCTAATTCCTGTCCTGATCGCATTCTATAAAGTAAAAGACGTAGAGAGGAAGATATGTGAGGAAAATGACATACATTTCACCCAAGACATTCGAGTAATGTCTGTGCAGCGACAGGCATGTAGACCCATCAAACGCGATCTTCACACTTCAAACTGAAGACATTTGGGCAGACTGGGGGTGTATTTATTCCAACGATTTTTATTCCACTTGACAGGTGAGTGACACACATTTTGGGGTTATTATAGTGGTGAGTGTCCTCGCCTGTCACACGGCAAACCGGGGTTCAATTCCCCAACGGGGAGATATACATGTATATATTCTACTATGTTAGTCGCTTTGGATAAAAGTGTCTGCTGAATGTATTATCTTAAACATAAAGCATAAATATCTATATCCAGTCTAATGTGAAAAGGAGGGGCAGAGACATGAATAAGCTCATTTTGTAGATGTATTGAAATATGTAGCCAGTAAACAAGGAGAAAATAATAAAAGAATCCCTCAAATTTCATATCTAAATATTTCACACTCTACTTTTGGGTAAACTCATGAAAAACAGCATTATGTCACTGCAGCTTCGATTTTATAAATCAAATTCAAGAAATCACAGATATCCTCCTTGTGACTTAAAAGAATAGCAGCTGATAAATTAGTTACGCTTGCCTTAAGATCATAATCAAAGGAAAACAGCCCTATGGGGGAAACTGGAGACTTCAGACTATCTTAGCTGTTGTGGCAGAGAAATAATAACTACAAAAGACCATTTTCCATCAAGAGGAGCCTGTTCTGCAGCTGATTTTTATTTTCTCCAGTAAAACAGCGAGCCTTAAATCAAAGTGTGCACTGACTAATGAGAAAAAAACAAGCCTGGAGTGTGAGTCCCACTCGCCTCCCAAATCATTGTGTACTTCACATATATCACAGCCCGGAGGGTCAGCTTTATCATCAAAATGGTACAAAATAGCAGAAGACTGATTTATCACTGTGGATTACCAGATATTTCATGATCAGTACGGCTCAGCCGTCTAATGTTTATCCAACAGCTTCACCCCGATGATTTTGGAATTTATACTTCTTTCACGGGGACAAAAAAAGTCAGATGAACCGGCGGATCAGTAAGAAGTGAGACAACCCGATAATGAGATGTTGATGTAAAATTAATATGACCCTTTCACAATCTGAACTGACCTCTCTCAGTGCTCCCGTCTGCCTTGAATTTTTAAAATGAATAACTAAAAAGACGAGTTCAGTGGGTGTGATGTGGCTGGGGCATTAATGCCGGCTTATCTTTTTCTGGGGGACAGGCTCGTGACGTTTGCTCGCTGCCACAGACGTCGACTTAGACTTTCTATTAGCGCGAATGCATTAGACTGATTCTCCGCGGCAGAGTGTGGCTGCAGCGTGACCCCGAAGACCAAAGCACGCCAGCTGGAGCAACCTTGTAAACAAGAACCGAAAAGCACATATGCTGCAGAATCAAAATCATCAAAGACAAGGACAGCCACTCAGTCCAACTAATTAAAGGCAAGTTTGCAATCCAGTCGTAAACAACGAAGGAAACACGCATATGTGCCACATAGGAACTTGATAAGCTCTCTCTTTTCTTTTTTTTTAAGCTTTGAAAGCAGGTTCCTAAGTGGTTTAAGGATATTAACCAGTGAAACACATTCAACTCGACTTGAAAATGCTTTTCTGGCTCAGATCAAGTGCATGACTGTGATCATGCACCTCTTTAAGTGTATGAGAGTGTGTGTGTGCAGCCATATATGTCCTCATCGTCACACAGATGATGAAGAAACAGCTTATCGTCTCAGTCTTAGGTTAGCGGCTGTACTTTAAACGGGAGATGCTCGTGTTTGTGGTGTGGGTAGAATCATCCGAGCGGCACGCTGGGCTGACAGCGAATCCATCAAACGCGAGCGAAAACTCTGATCAATGTGTAACCGCTGTTTCGCACACACCATTTTTCAGACGCAGCCTTTGAAGGCGGCGCGGGGATAAAACAAGAGAGCGAAAAAGCTACAGCTAAAGGAGCCGGGGAACGGCATTAAAGTGTGGGAATAACGCAACCATAAGGAGCCCTGATCCTAAAGATCTGTGGAAATTTTTGCTAGAAAAAAAGGGTTCTTCGAATCCTACCATCTACCTGCAAAACAGAAAAAAATATGCATAAACAGGGGAGGGGAAACCGTTGGAGCAGATGAAGGATGGCAGCGAAGAGAGGTACCACAAAGGTAAAAGGTAAAGGACGGGCCACCACTGACAGGAGCACAGCTGGCAACGACCCCGGCAGATGCTGTGTCGTCAAAACGCACAGCCAAACAAGGAGCGGAAGGATCAGGGAGTGTTAGGACACTGGGAGAGACGGTGAAAAAGCCCCTCACATGAGAAGGGGAATAACATTTACTTAAACATTTACATTCCCTTCTGCTTTGTAGGTGGGAATGTAACACAGCCCCCGGGGGGAAAAACACCCCCCTTCCAGCGAGTTCATGATGAATTGGCAAAGTTGTGGCTTCCTGGGCATGCAAATAAGATTCATTTCGATTTGGGAGGAAAGGAAAAAAGAGTTGGGGAGAAAGCGCGGTGTGTGGGCCGGTCGAAAAGTGCTGCTGCTGCAGAGCACTGGCTCGGAGTTGTGAGCGAGATGAATAATCCGGTGAAGGGCAACAATGCACAGCGCTCTCAATCACTCGCCGCGCTCTCTTCTCCTTAATTTCAACCTACGAGCAAAATCTCAACAACTCTTCTGTCGCGGAATGAGGTGCTTTGCTCTGGGCTTTATAGAAGTGTTAAGGAGCGGGTGCAAATTAAATGTGGGCTTTGGTGCGCACTATTCGCACGTTACTGACTAAAAACATGCTAAATCTTTTAAACCAATCAACTTAAGTGGACCGAATCTCCCCCCCCTGGAGCTACACGCTGAGCCACGATTCACGCACGCGAATCGGCCCTTTTCCTTACCGTGCACAGGTCTTTGTACTGCATCTTCTGGAACTTTGTGTCGGCGTTTCCGGCGCACAGCTCCACGTAGCCCAGCACCACCTGGAACACGGTGTTGTGGATGGCCTGGGTGAAGTGCATGTGCAGCTGGTCCATGGCGGTCTGCGGAGAGAGTCAAACAAAAACGGGGATGAGAACGGCCGCCTCGCCGTGTCCCCCGTCAGTCCGCCGGGATTCCGTCTGGGGACAGGCAAACGGGAGGGAACTTTACGGGGATAGCCCGATATTTTCGTTCATCTGCAAACCTCTGCGTTACATAACAGGGCGCAGGAGAACTGAAGGTAGCGGCAGCAGAGCTCAATCAAAAATGGGTCGTTTCGTCTTCCCTAATTCACAGCCCGCTGTGGAAATTGTCAACAATGAAGAAAATGGGATAAGGAAAAAAAAAACATATTTATGTCTTCTGTGGCAGCGCCGCCGTGCCTCCAGCTCTTTTTAAAATAGTCCTATTTATCTAATGTGGAGCCTTTCTTGAGAATCCATAAAAATCTGTGTGCTTTGGCTTAATCGGAAGAATTGTTCAAATTTTAAACACACACACAAAAAAAAATCCCCTGGAACACACTAGAGCTTACCTCTTTTAATTCTTTTATCCACCAGTCACGCTCAGTTCTACACAGTTGATGCATTAAACTGTGAGCAGAACATGCATTATGAAACTCTTTTGCCCTAAAGTAACTATAACTTAAGCATTATGAAAGTGCTACTTCTACATTTTGCATTAAGGTTATTTGTTTTGCACAGATATTAAAGATTCTATGACCACTTATGCAGTCCTGCTCCACCATACTGTTTAGGGTCTGAATTTGAGTTGGTCATCCTTTATTCTGCAGGCATCTTTCATTAGCCATCAGTTTCTTTTTTACACCTCCCCTTTTCCTCCCTCCCATCTGTCTCACCATTGGACACTGGAGAAATGAGGACACTGGAGTTACATGAGGCATGGGCACAGTATGGAGCGACGCCCATGGTAACGGGTGTTGCAGCGTAATTAGATTTTCTTACCACAAGCCTCTGGCCACAAAACGTTGGTCCCCCCCCTCAATCGTTCTGACACCCTGCTGCTGTTCCTACATTCTTTCTAAAGGAGCGTCACCTCACATGTCCTGAAAACAATAAGCACCATTGGCTGTGCAAAGCCTGAATATGAAGAAGGGAGAAACTATGGAAACCCCTCATAATATTACAACTCCAGCTGCAAAAGCAAACAGAATTATTCTTCTAAAGATACATATATCAAACGCGATGACTGATGTTGGCAACCTGAATGTCTGAGAGGAAAGTCTGTCATGTATATTACAGTATGTCAATTTAAGCATGGTGAAGTGTGGCTAACAACAGTGCCTTCGATTATTTTGTGTCTGAAAAGCATTTCAATCACAGGAACTATAACGTTTTTTTTCCTAACGAGTCTCAATGATAGGGTCTGCGCCTAAAAGCCTGTGGACAGGGGCAAGACACTGGCTTATTTAAGGTCATTTTCATAAAGTTTAATTTTAGATTTCCTGCTCGGATCAGCAAAATGCAGCTCAAAGACTAACACTGCCAAGGATACATGGATATTTGATTTGAAATATTTGAAATCTGACTTCCTGCTTAACAGCTGTGCTAACAATTTCAGACAGAATCTTTTAACCAGCAAAAACCCACATGATGATATTTGAGATGCTTGAGGGGGGGTAGCCTTTGCTATATTTTCATTAAAATCCTAATTTCTTTTTAGAAAAGTGAGGTCAGAAATGAGGTCATCTCATCCAGCTGTGTTCAGCCATTTTTCTCAAAGGCATGAATACCAGTCAAATCACTGACCTGTGTTTTGCCCAGGAGCGTGTAAGCCAGCTGGACCTTGGTGTAGTGCAAAACATCAAAGTGCTTACAGGTCTTTGAAAGGGCCACATCAAGCAGCTCCTGGAACCAGAAATAGACAGATGACAAAGGAGAGAGGGGGTTAGGAGAGTAAGGCCAAGGGGAAAAGAGGGATTATCAACATTAACGCCCAGGATTGAGATAAACTTAGATGTGCAGATGTAGAGCTATGAGGCCAAGGTCAGGTATTTAGAGCAAGACATAGGTGTGTGTGCATATATATACACATGTATGTACACAAAAATCAACATATTTCCATATATAAAAAATATATACATTACATACACATTATGTGTGTACATGAGTGTGAGTCAAAGATAAGTAAATTAAATTAAAAAAAGAGTCAAAACTAGGAGGTATGAGGCTGTGGCAGTCTTGACACGTTAAGCTCAGCTCAAAGAGCAAAGCGCTGACAAAGGCTAAGTGATCTAATGTCTTGCAACACCCAACACTTTCTTAAGCCTCTGGTGTAAAAGCTGCCCTTTGGGTATTATGCAAAGACTAAAGCGAACGCGTCCTGCGTGCTTAAAATATTTGGGGAAAAGTAACGAGTCAGGAAACGTAATTGGCATTATGAAAGTGTGTCGGGTGATTGTTTGCACGGTGTGTGTGATATGGAGGAGTAAATGGAGAATGCATGTATGAGCGTCCATGAAGGAGTGCAAACAGATAAAAAAAACCCACTGAGCTAAAACCAATTTACAAAACCTGCCTTTTCAAATGTGTGACTGGGCTTCATGCATGTGTTTACATTTATGATTAATAGGAATTTGGGTTGTTTGCTCACTAACTCACTCTGACAGGTAAATAAACAACCTAAGCCCGTGGCTCTGGATGTGTGCATATGCACGTTTCTCTCCTGTGACAGACCAAACTGCAAACAATTAATCTGTTGGAATGAAGTACGGAGATAATTGCATCTCCATGACTATTTCTCACACTCTGAAATGGTAACAGAAGCAGAGATGAAACGGATATAATCTACCCACTAATGACTCGGTGCGTGACAAAATTTGACAGACCGTAAATGACAAAGATAGTGTCAAAATGAACTACAAAGTGCCTCTTTCAGATGGAGAAAAACTCTGCTCGGGGTGTTTCTAATGATATTGCTTTTGGTAACAGAGTCGGAGATAAAGCAGGAAGGCGCGTACCTCTATTTGCTCCAGAGTGTCTTGAAGTTTTGAGTTCAGTTCACTGTGGAATAAAAACATATTTTTTAAAGTTATCGCATGTCAAGTCAACAGACACTTTCAATTCGTTTTCATTATTGGATTAGTAGATAAGGCCACCCTACAAAATCAACTAAAAGTGTTTACAGATCAGAAGCGGTGAATAAACAAAGAGCTGAAGCACCTCTGGAAGCACGTGACCGAGCATTCAAAACAGGAGATGCAGCTGACTGCAGGGTTGCCAGGTCTATCCTTAAAAAAAGGCAATAAAAAGGTCACCGACAACTGCAGGCAACGTGTGGGAGACCGGTTTAACGTCACGGACACTAGAGGGATATGAAAGAGCATCAGAACCGTCGCTGACCACAAAGGAGCCTTTGTTTGTCCCCATGACGATGCCACGTTGGCCGATGAACTTTTAACTTCGCCGCTCGATTTAAATCCAGTGACCACATTCCACCGGCGGGGAGGAAGATGGGACCCCCACAATCAGGCTGTGCACTCATGATGTAGGAGCGGCCCTCAGAGGGTTAACCCCGAGAGGGCCGCAGGCCCGGAAAGAGTCCTGGGATGGATAATCGCAACCTGTACCGAGCAGCTTTGCTGAGGCTTTTACTGATATCTTTAATCTCTCCCTGGAGCCAAAAACAGCTCCAATATGCCTCAATGCGGCCACAGTTTTTTTATTTTTTTTTGTCAAAGAAAACAAATTTCAGCCATCTGTATGACAGCCGTGCAGTTGATCTCACTGTCAAACTAAAATGTTTGGGGATTGGTCCCTAGTCGTATCAAGGTCAACACGTTTCCTGGGGCTGATTTGTTTTTGACATTTGGTAAGCTGATAGATCCACAGGGGACACCGTCTCTTTAGCGCGTCAGACAGCTTTTAAAAAAGGGCAGAAATGTAAACATGGCTTTGGGCGACTGTGGTGGAAGTGCTCCCAGCTCACTCATAAACTGTACCTGCAGGGCACCAACATGCATCGGGGTCCTTTAGCTTCCAGACAGGGATCCAGGAGGTGGTCTAATCCCTTATTTCTCCTGCTGCATAACCCTGAGCACCGGGCCCAACATACTGTATCTGTGTGAAGTCCAACAGTGGCACAGAAGCACCACAGTGGGCGGTAGCTGATCGACGAGGACCAAGACATGGTGCAAAACCCTGACTTTTAAGTCGGTCTGCACTTTTGTATAAAAAAAATACAGGAGAAATTCTGAAAGCAAGCAGGTGAAATTTGAAGTGTGTGAAGCCGGTAAATCCAAATGAAATTAACTAAGTAGTTTTAATGAGCGAATGGAAGGGTTGGGATCTTATGTGAGCTGCTTTGTCTCATTGTTCGTTTTTCCCATCAGGAAAACCGCCCCGAAAACGAAATAATAGCAACAATTGAAACTAAAAACTAAACCAGTTTTACCTGCAATTCTAAATGTTCTTTATATATTACTGTCGTCCAATGATGGTGTTTGTGTTCTTCGTTGTGGAAATCTCGTCCCATTTCGGCTCCAGTATAACATCAACCAGGACTTCACACCTGTTCTGTTCCTGTTCGCCCACATAGAAGGCAAACTCAGAGCTTTAATTCCACCATACCTTTGGATTTGCAAACTGCAGACAATATTCTTGCACACAAGATTCAACTCGCCTATCCTGTCTGAATGCACAGTTCCACCCGGCCGTCTGCCAGCCAGCCCATTCTCATCCATGGCAGATACTCAGGAGGAGTAGTAGCCTGCTCTCCACTGCCATTCTGCCCACGTCCCCAATTGTGTTCGGGATGCTTTCAGTGTTAAACGGACGACTACAATTAATCTTAAGGTAAGCAAACAGAAGAAAAAATCATTTAACCTCGTTTAGAGTCTGTTTCCTTTAGCTGGGTTCACCTTTGCTCGGTTCCAAAAGATATTATTCGTTTCAATCAAAACAGCGCGGCCAGCCGCACATTTCCAGGGGGAAATCACAGCGGAAAGGCTGTGAGTACGCATCTGTTCACATGTGAGAGCAGTTCTTTCCGAGACACTATCAGCCCGATCCCTGTTGCTCACTCAGATTCAGTCTCACCCTAAGAAAACTGCTTTTAACTGAAAAACTGAGAAGCGGCCAAAAAAAAGAAAAACAAAAATCAGACTTTTCTTGCAGATCCCAAGACCCCAAGTCGATTCCCTTGTGACTCCCCGAGCCCGCACTGCATCCATTCATAATCACACTCTGTTCCACCGTTTTCTGCTTCTGTCGCTGCTTCGCTTGGGGTCTTTTTCAGGTCAGCTCATCTCTTATGTTGTGCCTTGTGAGCCGGCAGTTGCCCTAGGGAGAGAGTGTCCTTAACAAATTGCTAATTAAGCAGCTTTCGCCGGGGATAGAAAGTGTGCAGGAGTGATCAGAGACGCAGAGAGGAGACTGCAGACCGAGTCCCACCAGCACTTTGCAAAACAGGTGACAAAATGAGATGCCACTACCCTTTTTGTATGAGCCTGTGTGCGATTGAGTCAGACAAAGCTGGTTTCCGCACGTGTTGAGCTGTAAGATGAATGAGTAAGCTGCGAAATGAGTCCAAATGAGCTAAATACTGATGTCACACTGCTCATGTTGTGCTTAGCAAAGATACTGGGTGGCACTCTTTCCCATGATCATCATTACTGCCCCATTACCCCTTAATCCAGTGAAGTGGAAACACCAGGCCTTTCCGGCGACAGGATGAAAAGGCAAACCAGGGCTAGTGTTATCAGAGGGAACTATATTTGGAGCCCAGGGGTGAAGAAAATAAAGACATCACAAAACTGGCTCAACTGAAGAGAGGTGAACTAATCAATGCCACATCCAGGCTTCAGAGGAAGTGCGTCTGAATGCTCACGAGCAACGGCTTAGACATCCGTCAGCCACCATGAGGAGAAAAGCTGTGCTCATTTCTCCTTTTGGGATATTACCAGAGCTTAATCAAATGCCGAACAGTATTGAAGGAGCATTGAAAAGAAAGCAGGAACCCTTGACCACACTAGCAGCCATTTTATTTTCTATAACAAGAACAGAACCACAATAGGACTCAATACATGGTTCAACCAAAACCAAAACAACGAAAACAGATTGTTATTGATTTAAAAGAAAATATGAAACAGACAAATTTGGACAAAACAAAATGGCTCTATGCAGAGCATCTGGAGCAAGCTGATGAGTGACAAAGTGGAAAAAACAACTCAAATGTGTCCACACGGAGTTCAGAAATATGTCTCCCTCCTCCACTAAAACCGATACATCCTGCTGACTTAGTCTGAACTAACGGAAGCCAAATCAATTAGCTTCTTACAGGAACTAGCAACGGCACTTCACCACCTGCAAAACTATCTTTGGGCCTTAGGAAAAAAAACGCCACACTTCATCAACTAAATCCAATAACCCAGGTCACCTGCTGCTAACCTGTGTCCTTGCTCCATTTAATACTAAAACACTAAATCGCGGTGTCCAGCCAACACGCAGAAACCTCTCCTCCCAACATACGCCATGCTTTCATGATCAGAAGGAATTCATAAATAACAGATGAGGAGATAAAAACGAATTAACAATCTGTTCCCTACAGGGACCACATGAACCGAAGCGGCATCACATGGAAACCAAAGAGGACTTTCAACCCCCCACCCTCCACTCCATAACCTTTTTTCAATTATCACTGACGATAGTTATTCATGGAGCTTTAAGATTAGCTCCTTCACATTGATTTGCTAAATAGGCAATATGTACTGTGCTTCAAAGGGTCTGGTGGATGTTCACTTTTTTTTTTTAAATTGCCATTTTTTGCTGCTGTCATGTTCACCATTGCTACAGGGCATGAGGGGGGGAACTCAGAGGCAGGAGAAGCACTTCAAACAGTAAAACTTAGCATGAGGGGACAAAAAGCAGCTAGAGTTATTTAATAGAGAAAGCAAAAGGAGTTGTGTGGGATGAAAAAAACAGAGGGCATGAGGAGGAGCAAAGGGGTCAAGAATAACAAATGCAGTTTAAATATGATGAGAACATCAATTGACCCAAAGAAAATATTTTGAATATATTCTGATTATTTTTGCATATATGTGTATTAATACCTGGCCTGTGCTTATCATCTACAACAGTCGCAACACCAGCATTAGTGCAAGTTTAAATTGCAGTTGACACTTTTTGCAGAACGTACTTTACTGTTTTCTACAAGCTGATTCCTCCCAGCAGGAAAGTTAAAAAATACAATCAAATCTTGATATTTATAAAGAATAAGATACACATAACTAAAGAAGAGTGACTGAATTTGATCTTTATTTTTTAATGTGTGCAAAGACCTAAACAATAACAAAAAGGTGTCTGCAGTTCTATGACAAACTCAGAAACCCTGACTGAGAAGCCATCACTTACATATTCAAGCATGCTTGGCAAGGAAGTTCTCCGTGAGTCGCCAGTAAACTCGATCCGAAATGAAGTAACCAGTGTTTACATGATGTGTTTTAGCCTTTAGCAACTGAAAAAGTCAAGTGGAAGAGATAAAGAACATTCAAAGGAAAGCTTTGTTGTAATCACTGTCTGAATTCTTGAGTTATGGCAAACTATTCATTATCGGCGGTCACTCTGACCTTTCAGTTATTCCAAGAGTGTGGAAGTGAACATTTATACCAGATTTCAAGACGTTGCCAAGTGGCATTCCTAAGACCCTGTGTTCACGAGACTGGGATGGACGGACCGACGGCCAACCCAAAGGCATAAATCCTCCCGCCACAGCTGGGCTTCATTTTACGATGATTACAAACACATTTCTGCACCGACAGGCTTGAGCGGGGGACCTCTTAGAGGGGATTCATGACATTCAAGCCTTTGCCAAACATATTCATTAAATGCTGATGAAAACCGCCCGTGCCAGGTGACCATCTCTCCTAATTCCCAGTGAACAGGAGAATTAAATCTGGTGTCTGGGGTGAAACTCTTCACACAGATTGAGACTTAAAGAAAAGTTTAAGCAGAAACTTTGCAGTTTAGGTGTGTCATTCTCTTATAAAGAAGCATTAAGCATGCATGATCAGTATTTTAAAACAACTAATACCCACACAAATTAACTAAATCTTAACAGATTTCCACACAACCTCTCATATCCCATCCTATGTTCACATTTAAAAGAAGGGAAATTTTTGTTTGTTGTTAATAATAATATAATATATTCATAACACTAACGTGCAACAGTAACGCTTCATATATATCTTAGATTCTCTGAGGGGTCTCTTGAGTTTTAGATGGAGCTTGTCAGCCCGTCTATCTGCTAAAGTGTGTTGCTGTGCAACCATCTCTATGTCACAGCTTACCGGCTGCCTGCCACAGTCCCTAAATCTTGTAATTGGATGCTTTCGCACAGGAGGATAAGCCGTAATATGCTTAAGTTGGATGCTGCCAGATGCATACTGAATATGCATTTTTGTCTTAACTGAAAACTGTGAATGGAGGGAGACACACTTCTGGACTAAAGGGAATCCGCATACGCCATCTTATTAATATATAAATATATATTAGAAAAAAATAACAGGGAAGCCATAAGGAGATGATAAAGCACTCAGGGAACACAAACCTTTGTCTAAAAAAGGTTAAGTGTTCTGAACATGGGAAAAGAAGGTAACGACAGAAATGTTCGATTGGCTTTTCAAAGAAAGCACTTAAAAGAAGATCAATGTCTAAATGGCTTCTGTCTGAGCTGAATTGACATCCGGCTACTGCTTACCAACACAAAGAAAAAGAATCAGATTTGTATCATATTTTGACCAGAAAATTAACTACAAGCCTTCCTCCTTTAAATACAGTAAAACAAAAATCCCTATATCAGTCAGCTCATACTGTACCTTATACAGCTGTAGTGTTTGAAGGTGCTGGCAGCCTTCTGGCATTCCAGACAGAGCTGGATTGCACCTGGATAGTCTTCCTCCTGAGGAACAGAGACGTGAGGTCATTTAATGCCTATTCCAAACATACCAGACTTACAGCCCGGGTTAAAAGAAAGTAGTTAGCAGCATCCAGTCTGACGCAACACATATCTGAAAACTGTTTATAGCCAATACTGTCCAGGTAACTACAGGTTTCACACAGCAGTTGTCAAATCCATTCCATATGCTGCTGCTGACCTTCACAATAGATAGGTATTTGCCCATGATTGTATACTGTTTGTAAGGGCTAGGCTTTCAGTGCTCGATCCCCACTGATGTTTGACCTTTGAAGTCAATTATGAACATTTCTGTACGTGTGGGTGTGTGTTTGGGATTACCATACCTCGAGCATCTCGCTGAGTCTCACATCTGTTCTTTGCTAAGAAAGACAGAGGGAAAGGAATAAGACAGGAATATAATGTACTGTAGCTGGTCCTAAGCTGGCGTCATGCTTTCCAGCTGTTACAATGTTGTCAACATTTAACACAACTTATTACAGTTAGACAAATCAAACAGGAAAATCAAGAAAAGTACTAAAGAAAGCAAGTCTGAATCATATGTGGTGAAGAAACGACCTAGTGTGGTGCTGTGATAGGATGCCACCCATCCAGTTAAGACATTTCCTCACTCCTAAATATTCCCCCATCAACTGTGAGTGGTATTGCAACAAAGTTTAAGCAACTCGTAGCAGCAACTACAGAGCGGGGGCAGCAGATGCCGAGGCACACGGTGCGCAGAGGTCACCAAACCTTATGCAGCCTTCAGATTAGCTCAAGAACATCAAGTTCTAGAGAAATTAATGGAATGGGTCTGACGGATGAGTCTTTTTTGGACAATTACATGCTCCCAACTTTGTGGGAACAGTTTGGAGATGACCCCCCCTCCCTCTTCCAGAGCACCAGTGCACATAGCCAGGTCCATAAAGATGGATGATAGTTTATGTGGACAAGCTTGGCCGGTGTGCGTAGTGTCCTGGCCCCACCCCGAGAAAACACCTTTGGGATGAATTAGAGCGGAAACCGAGAGCCAGGACATCTCATCCAACACCACTGTAGGACCTCACAAATGTAGTTCTATAAGAAGAGTCCAAAATTCCTCAAAATAACACTCCAAAACCTTGTTGAGGGTGGACCAACGTCACACTGACCCTACTGACTGCGGATGGGAATTTACTTAAGTTCATATGCGAGTTGAAGCCGGTGAGAAAACACTTTTGGCAAAAGTTTAATTGATTAGGTGCTAATTTAATTGGAACATAACAAAATTCCATGTTGGATGACTTTGGGAAGCTGAGGGACTTTTTTTCTTGAAGGATATTTGTAGTCAGGCTTAACAGAGAATCAAATTAGAATGATCTGATGGGTGGAGGCTATATAGGTTTACCCCAAGGAGAGCGATAGTTTGTTTCTATTTTTCAAAGAGAAAAATAATCCATATTCACATTCAAATGGAATCTAAATTAAATGTGTTAACAGTACCAAGGTTTTGATGGTCCTCAGTGATTTCAGTAGACATGTCAGCAGTTGTCGTCTCCTTTGATTGGCCAGCAGGCCCAGGCTGGCCTCAGTGAAGCCCTCCTTCGAAACACTGAGCTGTCTGCACAAAGGAAGTTCCAGGTCAGGTTTGATATGCTCTGTAAAAAGACTCATCTCTCAAAAAAATTAAACTTTGAAGAAACAATATGTACACAGATTTTTTAATTAAAAATGTACAAGCTTAAATTAATTATTTTGACAAAGCTTTCTGTGAAAACAGCACCAAAAGCTAGTTTAGCTCCCTGAAAATAAAGATGTAAATTCTGACAAATAATTCATGCAAATAAGTTCTTAAGCGTTCTGATATTGCCAAATAAATCATATGATTTGTCTACAAAGTTACAAATACTAGGAGTGCTTGATAGTGTCCTGAGGGTGTACTGAACTGGGCATTTACTACATGGCTACAATGCCCTTAACAGCCGGGGCTGTGGGAAGGACTCCAGATGGGCTGGACATTCCCTGAATGCTATTCTCCTGCTGTCTTTCACCCCGTTTCAGGATAATCTCCTCTGCGCTATCAAACCGAGCCAAAAACTATGATTTCCAACAGACGGAGAATATATGGGGGGGGGAATGATAATGATGATGAAACAAGCACTAAGTATGCAGCGCAAGTCTGAATGAGCAGTTTGAGCAGCTCTTTCAGTTGGTGAACAGAACACCATTACCTCCTGGCATTAGTGCAAATGACTGCTGCCAGCTGCAGGTTGGTCTGCAGCGCCGTCACTCTCTCCAGTTCCTGTGATTAGAGATAATGAATAGTGATATAGATTGTGATCAATAACACCGAACAGCATCCTACACAAAAAGGGTATGCTAGCACCGGGGACCTACAGGAAGAGGAGACTTTTTGAGAGGTTTGTTTGCATTTTACAACCAATAATTTTCTAAAGAGAACAAAAACCCAAAGACTTATAGGGCCCGTCAGAATGGTCTTTCGGTTGTCGTCTCCTAAACAAACACTGATGTTTTGCTGAAAGCCAAACGGTGGTGGAGGGGTAGTGATGTGGGCTTGTTCTGTAGCCACAGGACCAATGCATTTTTCACTCATTAAGCCAACCACGAGCACCTCTCCATACCAAATTATTTCAGAGTCCCATTAGTGACATCAACAGAATCATTTGATTGGGGGCTGATGACACTTTTGAAATAACTTACAGATGCTGTTGTCATCCATATGCATAAAGAGAACAACTTTCTCTAATTACAGAAGCATCGATGTGCACTTTCCTCAAGAGATTTCAGTTATCCTACTTGAGAGGCCACCACAGAGAACAAGTGTACCCTCAGACAACTCAGGGCTGACATTTCTTGCCCTCTTAGCTGTTATTTTCTTGGTCTACCAGATGTCGCGCCTGAGGCGGAAGAAGCTTGTTGTTTGATGCTGCAGTTTCCATCGCTGTGTCACTTGTTTGCACATTAAAAAAGATCCATTGTTTGCAAAAGTTCCCTCATAACACTGTCAGAATAAAAAAGAAAAAGCCTTTGACCAGGAGAATATGGTCTGGGGAAATCAATTTTTGATGGTGATAAAAAGAAAACCAACAAGCAATGCAGCACTTCAGCTGTGGGCAAAGGATCAGTGACTCCATTCAAACCAATCTCCCCTCATGATCTTAAGTGCTGACGAAGATCTTGATAAAACCTCAGAACACTGTTCAAAGGTTTTTAAAAGTAGCCAGGTTTTTCTCTGGAGGGAAATGCGCCATGTGATGCTTTTGTGGGGAGCTGAGACAAAAGTTTCGTAGACAGTCCTGGGTTGAGTAAGGATGTTGCCCAGGCTGACAGTGTCTTAACACAGTGGTTTTTCTGATACAAGTTCCCTGTAGTTTTATTTTAGGAATTTGCTAATTTAATTGAGAACAGTTCCTTTTTTATTCTATCTTCATTGCCATAAAAAAGGTGCAAACAACATGGGGGCTGTTAAAATTTTTAGCTTTAGCTGAAAAAATGTATAATATAAACCTCTGTACGTTTAAATTATACATCAAGAATCTGATTAAATTTGAGAGAAAAAGACTGTCTGAGAGCAAAATTAAGATATATCTAACTGTCGACGGCCGGCATGCTATATATACATATATATGTACACACACTTCATATAGTGTAGTTTCATTCATTTAAACAGTTCAAATTAGTGTTTGAAGTAACAACAGTTGAGGATGCTGCTGCTCATCTGGTCAAGGAAGAAACCACTTCTCTCTGTGTGTGTCCAACAGAAGTGAATCCTCTCCAAACAAAACCAGTTTTCAGTGCAGCCTCTCCCAAACACTCTGACTGCCATTATCCAAACACAGTAGATGAGCAAACACAACAGCCTCCGACTACGATGCGGAAAGACTCGGGCCTTTTGTGATGTGCACAAAGATACAAGGGAAAGACAAAGGCGGCTCAAATGCCCTCACATGTGGGATAAAACGGGAGCACAAGCATCGAAACAGACAAGCAGGCTCGACATGATAGGTGCTCAGAACCTAGCCCGGGGCTGTGACTCATCCCGGCTTTGAGCTGTCTGCCCTTTCTGTGAGGTACACTTAACCCAACAGACAGACAACTCGGTCGGTTTCGCTTGTGTAAAAGGGGATTCAGTAACTATAGACACCGCCGGGGACTAAGCATTGTATTTAACAGACAAAAAAAAAAAATAATAATAGGCGTGACTGAAATCAACTTCAATAAAACGCATTGTGGAATAACAATCTAAATAGAGAGAAAATATGCTATACACACACAGGAATCTTTGCTGTAAAATCTGGGCTTTTGATTTGCATATTCATTAGAGGTCCACTTTGTGACCCTCCCACACATAGCCAATGTGCTGTCCCCTTTTTTTTTCAGGCTCTACCCCTATAAATATGGTTTATTAAGACTGGTGGGAAGCGAATATGAACGTTATTTAGAGTCTATGGCCGCAAAGTTTGGCAGACGACCCGAGTGATCAGACAGGTCTCTATATAGCTATGAATCATATTAGAGCCTCAGCATTTCATGCGCTGGGGCATGAGCGTGTGTCTCGATGCAATTTCTGGGTCTACTGATGCGTTATGCACAGCACAGGAACTGTGAGGAGAGGCAACATGAGCCCCCTCATGGATGTGTTTTCTGTGTCGCTGTTTCATCAAACATCACTCAAAGGATAAAAAAAAAAAAAAAAGAAAGTCCTGACACAGGAAACTGTGCAAAAACATAGTAGGAGAAAACAGTAATGGAAATATTGTATGTATTAGGAAAGCAGAGTTATTGAGTAATGAGATGGACTGAGAGGCAGAGGTTATTGTTGAATATGGTTCAAAAGCTGCTTATTAAAAAACAAAAAGTTTGACTAATCACAAGAGAAATTAGGCTCTCCTGTAAACTTTATTGTGCGTATGTTCATTTTATGGAGAGCCCCAAACAATGCATTGTTTTTTAATGAATACAAACAAGGAAACAGCTCACTTCTGTCTTATCCTGGACAGAATCAAACTCCCATTAGTCATCTTTATCAAAATTCTATTCTTTTCTTGCTGCCATTTGGTAGTTGACATAGCCAATGGGATGATATTCATCTTCACACTTCAACTTAATCAGAATAACCTCACGTCCAATTTCAACATGTCAAGTGTCACTTTTCAGCACTGATAAACTATTAAAGCCTGGACGCTTACCTTAACATACGTGGGCTGTTTCTCCAGAATGAGATCTGCAACCTTTTTGGAAACCTATGAAGAAAGGAAGAGCAAATATGAGACAGAAATGTAGAAAGAGAGAGCATGAATTCATTTTGAGGTTCCTTCCGGATGTCGAGCTGCAGGATCACTTTGGGCTCTGTAATCTCACTTTGCGGGTGGGGCAAGAATATCAGTCAATGATGTCTGTGTCTACAGCTCTAAACAGCCAAACCTTTTTAGGAAAGTGTCTCTCCTTCTCAATGTCATCTCACTCACTATTTTTCTCTGTATCCTGCTGTGATTGGAAAAGATCTACCCTCCACATTGTGCCAGAGCTACAGTGGGTCTGTCATCATCCACTGTTCTGCTTATATAATGAAGCATTAAACATGGCTGTGAGCCCCCTGCTATACTTGAAGTGCATTGCTGCTTTTAGCTGAGATGGAACATGCGGGAAAACACAGAGAGGGCATTGGGACTGAACCAGCTTTGACCTCACAGGAGGGATCACACAAACAGGGTCACGCTGAGCCAACAGGGTGGAGGTCCACTCATACTGACGTAAGCAGCCGTTAAAAACTCCAAAATCAACAAGCATGATGCTGTCACACACACCCATAGTTTCTAATAAAAGCTCATTTGCCTTTTGGCAAGACATCTTGTAGCGAATAACTCTCCAGAAGTCAACAAGACTTCTGTGGATTGATTCCAAAACCAAGAGCAAAACTTCACGGATAAAGTCTAGTCACAAATATGTTGTCTGCAAACGTGCTCGTCATTACAGAGAGAATCAGCAAACCAGAGTTTTCTGCTAAAACAATCGCAAGTCTATTGAAAGTAGTGAGGAGGCGGCCGGATCTGCTGTAGATGAGTTTGGGGAGGAGGTAACGTTAAACATTCGTTGGTGCCACCTAAAGACCCGAGCAGATGGCGAATGAAGCCCAACGGAAGCTGCTCATCCCACAGGATTCGAGCTTGGAAATGTGTTTTTTTGTTTTGTTGATGAAGAAAACAATGTGGGAGCACAGAGTACCTCAAACGTTCACAAAACTGTCCCAAGATGAAGCCACAATGCCATCTATTGGCATTTCGCTGCTTTCACCTGCTTATACTGAAATCCTTACAGTAATAAATGTGTGTAAAACACACATACAGCAGAGAGCCAGCAGTGGATAACCAACGACTTCTTCATTTTGCCGCCCAACCACATATAAACGGCCTTTAATTATGCAGTTAAGTGTGTGGCAAAGCGAGCACAACGCATTTAATATTTAGCAGACAGAGCCAGCTACTGGCTTGTTCAGAGCTTGTTTAAAGCTGGTGGCTGCCAATGAAGAATAATCAATGGGCAACTGCAATAAAATGCACTGTGTGTGATGGCAGCCAAAGAAAGGGAAATTTGTTAAGTCAATAAAGAAAGTGAGTGTACCACACTCTCCAGTCAACACACTGCAAGGGACTGAAAACACTGGCATTGTGGCATTCACCTGAAAAAAAAGTGGACTGCAGACCACAAATGTGTTTGGATAAAAATGAATTTGGTCAAATATTTGCTTAACATATGTTAGCAAGACAAGACAATTAAATCTAGATTAGTTGGCACTTACTGGAGTCAGATGTAGCAAAATGTCTGGTAGTTTTTAGGAGATTAAAAAAAAAGGGTCGAGAACAACATTATGGGTGCCTCCACACTGAGAGCACATCCACGGAAACAATGCTTACCACCCTCGCAAGAAGTAAAATGCAAAAACAAAATGATCAAAACCCACCTGACAGACTTCAGAATGAGTTTAGAAAAAAAATATGGCACCGGAGTGCTTAGAGGCCATCTGTCTGAGTGTCGGTATCCATCATGCTTCAATGTGATCTCACCGAAACCTTGTTATGCGCAGCAGTCCAACCAGATTTTAACACACACCAGTGTGGTGTAGGCGGACTCAATACATGAACTACTGGTGATTTTTAAAAGGAAAAAATGACATAAAGGGCTTGGTCACCTCTTGCTATCAATACTTTCACGTGATAAGACGTTACTCCCATCATTTCTAATGACATTCCTATAAAGACAGCCACTTTCAAGTTACAGTAAACTCAATCATGTCTCCTGAAACAGGTTCATCTTTAGTATTTCTCCATATTTTTAAACATTTTACAGTCTTGAGAGGAAAATACAAGAAAGAGTTACAGTTCAAGTAGATTTCAAATGAAACGGCAGCCCTGATAATTGATCACATTTAATGAAGACCTTAAAAATAGCACAAGTCAACACTAACTGAGGATTTCTACACTAAGTTACATGGGAATTGAGGAAAAGCAAAACCTCAAACAACCTGGCATGTTCCACCAAAGGCTCAGAACAGTGAAAGGCAATTAGCCCTGGTGTGAGCCTCACAGGAGGGTGGTGGAGATTCCAACTGGACGCCGCAACAGAAAAATGCCTCGGATGTCTTCAGCCGGTCGGTGCCGGTCACATGACGAGGATTCAAAGTTAACGTGAGTCAGCGTACCAGCTCAGACACACATTTGCTCAGACAGCAGGATCGGGGAGAAAAATGGTAAACAGTGGTTCAAGTGCATACTGGAGGATGCACAGCGGGTGGGATCCTTTTCACTCTGGTCTCAAGTGGCCCTGCAATACACACCAACACACACACACACACACACACACACAGCCATGCGTACAGTGATCTGCTTTACAGCTTAAAGAAGCGGGCAGAGGTACAGAGAAAAGACTCTCCACGTCAGCTCTCAGTAGGACAGGCTGTCGCAGGGCGACCCAAAGCTGAAAATCTGAGAGCACCATTATCGCTTCCTTCCATCTGCTGCAGGGGATCGCCATTCATTTAATGAGCCGCAGCATGTACACAATTCACACAGACGACCTACAGCATGCCAGCGCGTTCGAAAAAATCTGTGCCAGAATCGTTTTTCTCCCCGTTTCTCGGGGAAAATCGGAAAACGAACTCTGATGACGGCGCACCACAAAAAGCAAGCAGCCTCTTGAAGTGAAAGGGACTCTTAAGATTTTCAGATTTCCCACTTCCAGATTTTATCCCGCGTTTCATCCGCAGAGCAGAACATCGATTTTTAGAACCCACCAAAATCAGAGCGTGACATTTACGTGGCAAGCTCCCTATTTCATGTTTCATTAAACACCGGGTTAAACTGCAGCAAGGCTCGTGACCTAATCCTGATTTTCTGCCCGCATTCTAAAAGGTTGGCCTGATCAACAAGATGCTCGGGCTCTTCAATACAAGTTTCCAATCCAACAGTGTGATAATCAGTCGTCATTAACTCCAAACAAGACAATGACTGGAAGATTAATCAAATTGACAAATTAGGTACGCGACGAAGATGATTCCTTAAAGCCCTTCAGGACAGGGAGGCGGTCAAACGGGGGGTCGGGGCTTCAGGTGTCCACACAGGACGGCCCGTTTTCATCGATGAAAGCTTACCGGGAAACCTTGTTGAGGATTTTCTGCCTGACAGCACACCGGACCAATTACCGCGGCTGATGAGAAGCCGGCGGGCCGACAGCCAAAAAAACAAAGAGGGAGGGAGAGACTTCCACTCTTTTTCAGAAAGGAAATGTGTGACAGGGCTTGTGCACTCTTCCACCATGCCACGGCGCCGAATGTCCAACGCCCTGTCTTCACTTAGCAGGCAGCTCTGTGGGCTACAGCCAAAACTGTCAAAAGAAGGGGGGGGGGGATGTGGAGGACGGTCATCACGTCTGGAAACGGGTATGTGAAGCATATGGCTAATAGAGGTGGACAAGAGCCAGAGGAAGAGTGTTGGAGGGAGGATGAAGGGAAACGAATGAGAAAAAGCTCAGAGGTTTGTCAGCAAGGTGGGTAAAAATCTACATTAGGCTGCGGGGGAAGAAGGAGCAAAGAGGGAAAAAAAGCAGCCTGGTCTCCCACGTGCTTCTAAAAATAGAATTTGTTGACAGGCCAACTCTGTGAAACTCTGTGTGTGCCGAAATGACCTCAGAGTTATGGAAATGGCCCTGCTGAGGAGAAAACACAGATGCTGATGTCATGGGAATTTGCCATACAGGTTGAAGAAAACAAAGAGCTCCAAGACAAGTCGAGGATCTAGGTTTTATTCTATCACCACTATATTTCATTTAAACGAGAAAAGCTTGCTTTTCTTTGTATCCATTCAATCGGTGCTGATTGATGTATTTAGAATTTAAAAGCAGATTCAAATACTTCATCAACACAAAAACAGTCTGATAGGGAGAGTATAAGAACACGGCAGTCTTTAAACTGGGTGTCTGCGTTAGCTTTTCTCAACAAAAGCTCATCAATTTCAGTTTTAGACAGAGTGAAAGAAGTTTCTTTGTACTCGAACTTTAGACTTCTTGTTTGCTTTTTCATCCAGTAAATGGAAAAGTGAATTTCTACTTTTATTAGTTAAAACGAACACATTGCATTCTCTTTTACCATGCCTCAGTGTTTTGATTCATGGTTTAAGAGCCTCTTGTTACTTTCACTCTGATGATGAATGTGTCAGCAGAGACGTCTGCATAGCCTCAAACAAATTCTGAGAGTAGAGGCCTTGAAGAGGACGACTTGATTGTTTGTAACTTTTTCTTAAATGGCTGGAATTAAACATTTGCTCTTGAATCTGTACCTCCATATTCACGACCAAATCGATTTCATAAAATGTCTAAAGGACTTACCAAAATTAAAAGAACTGCAAACTTTGTTCAACATTCTTTATTTCTGATTTAATAACAAGGGTTATTTTTGTTTAGAACCTCCGTTTCTTTAGTTAGTTCAGCCATATCTTATTTGATCATATGTTAGATCTACTGTGTAGGGAAGACCCCACACCAAACTCAACTTTACTACCACAAGACAAGACAAAGCAGTCCTAACTCACAGTTAAAGTTGGGCCTTTCATTATTTTATACACTTACTGGTGACTTAATTTGAAACCAACATGAATAAAAAGTCTTGTAAGTGTCCTCCATGAAATTGCACCAGATAAGAAGAAATTCCTGCAAATGGCTGGGCATAATGATCATTTGTTAACTTTGACAAAGACATAGAGAGTTGTAAGAAAGACTGGGTTAGATCCCACTGTTACTAACTCAGTAAACCTTAATTGAGAGAGTGATGTTTTCGATAGGTGACTCAGCTCCACTCAGACTCTGGTCCTGCACCTCTAACTGAATCACAGGTTTAACTGAACATTTCATTTCCCCGCACACCCACCCTCCAAATATCAAAACACATTAAGTTACAGAACTTTGAGGCTACGCAGACCTCCAAATACTGATTACATAACAGTTTTTAACCACTAAGATCGTCTTCGACGTAACAGATGATCAATCGGTCATCAGTGTAGGACAAAGATGTGATTGATTTATCCAAAGCTTAGAGGCAAAAAAAATCTATGTCACATATCACCCACTGCCAAAAGTATGCAGCTCCAAGGCCACCGTAGTTTTGAAAGCCGTCTGAGTCATGTCTCTACTTTTAAATCACAAGCAGTCCAGAAACCTAACGGCTCGCTTAAGGGTTATTTCCTTTTTCTTCTCAGGACACTAGTGACATGTTTTGAGGCTTTCCATTTATGTTGCAGAAATTAGAAGAGGCATGGACATTATTTTTTTTGCCTGACATTCTTTTTAGGACAATGCCACACTCATTTTCCAAAAGCTACACATCCTTCAAACATTCTCCCAAAGAATATGTTTGTTTTTTCAAGGAGCTAATCAGGAATAATGAAAAAAATTGCTGTGTATGTATGAAAACAAGCCTTTATCAGATGGAAATGTTACTTTTGTATAAATATAATGTTGGATTTACATTTACAAAGGTTTCAGATGACCAAATAAACATTATTGCCCCGGGTGGGGGAAAAAGTATGCGAGCCATTGTGCTAGCAAACGAGAAATCTGACATTTGAATGCTAATGAAACCTGCATCCTATCGCACACATTTTAAATATTCGCTCAGTATTCATGCACTCAAATCATGCTCACTTAGGAGAACGGATGTCTCAACCAGTTTACATAATTAGCCCAGCCTGTAAAGCTTCATCTTATTAGCGTAGATCATCTCCGTTGGCGTGAATGCCCGAGCGTGTACGCGTGGATGAGAAACAATACGCAGAGATACTTACCGCAGCCTGCTGTCTCTTGAGCTTGTCTCTGTACTCCTCTAGTTCTTGCAGGTTCAGCTCAGGTGGGAGTTTCTGTAATCACACAAATCAGATACAATCATGTACCCGTAACAATTACTTTCATCACTTCCTCTAATGCAGCTGACGGCACCCCAATCTTTGGAAAAGCGGCCCCCTCTTTGCTGCAGCACGCTGCCTCTAAATATAGACAGTCACAGTAGACTCGAAAAAGTCTGAAAGTTCTGGTGCTAAAATTGGCAGCAGGGATTTCATTTATCTCGGCAGAGCTTATCTTCACTTTTGAGAATCTTATTTTTTCCCCGAGTTATCCTCATTGTACATTTTTAAGAGCTAAAGCTAGTTTCACTGGTGTTACTTCAGATAGCTGTCGCTCATCGTCCGATTAAAAAAACGGGGGGAAAAAGAGGGAAAAACAAAGTATTTGTTCAACAGTTTCACGTTGCCAGATGATGGGTCAGATTATTGAGGAAGGTAGACAATGTTGTTTAGTAAACAGCAAACAAACTCCGCCAGGGAAAGAAGATATTACAAATCCATGGCCCAAAGGATGATAGGTAATTACTTTCCTCTTGACTGAGAGTCTCATTTCAGATGGTGTAGCAATACCAAGATAAATCTAATGAGATTTCACACCTTTCTTCTGTTGAGCGGATGCAATCCATCAATCCAGACTTCAATGATATGCATGCAGCTCAGCAGAAGTGTAAGAGACAGCAGCTCAGGTGAAAAAAGAGCTTTATTCCTGCCAGTCAGATGGTGCTTTGTGCTCAATAAACCATATTTATTCACATTAGAAATGCAATTCTGTTGTTATCAAAGTTATTGAAATGTGGCGGGGGGGTGGGGGGGGGGCATGGGAACTCAGGAACAAATCTCTCGCGACCGCATAAAAGCGAGCGGTAATTGTTCACTCCATTACGCGAGCCCTGCCGCTCAGCGAAAGTGGCTGACCTCCAGTTCATGCTGCACCATGTCGAAGGAGTCGTTTGAGAAGTAGACCTCCTCTATGCTGTCAATGATCTCCTGCTCGGCCTGGGGGTCGATGGGCTGCTGCCTCAGCTCTCGCAGCTCCTCCTGCAAAACAGCAGAGAGACGGACAGATAAATAAGTCATCATCTTTTTATAAAAAGGTCTAAAGATCCAGATCTAATTCATCCAAAAAGGAGAAAATGAACCAAACAAGTCAAACGCTTAACAGGACGACATGAGAGCGAGTTACAACAGAGAAGAACTCGGGAAGGGGGAGACAGATTTAGTGAACGAAGAAGAACTGAGGAGCTCTGGGATGAAGGTGAAGAACAAGATGATAAGATATCGGAATAAAACAAAGTCAAGAGAACAAGGGACAAGGAGAGGGTGTGAGAAGAGGGGAAAAAGTGGGGGGGGCGAGAGAATGTTAATCGCCGGCTTTGGAAAAAGATTGCAGCTCGTTTCATTGGACAGCTGTCAAAAGGGATGGCAAACAGCCATGAGAGAGAAGACGAGAAGACACGAAGTAACACAAAAAAAAAGAGGACTAAGACTGCCCCTCTGAGAGTCTCTGAGAAACACCAGAGCCTTATTGATTAACATGCTGAGCATCCATCCGGGCTTATTGCTGCAGCTTGTCTTTCACATGAGGAACTTTTAAGCCAGCCTCCTCCCCTGACTGTCTTGAAGAGCTGAGCTGCAGCCTAATGTCAATATAAGATTAGACCAGCCAGAGCAGATTTCACAAAGAAAAAGGAAAAGAAAACTGCCCAAAAAAGGAAGATTTGAGTAAAACAATGTTAACGCCTGTCATTACTGAGGTTTCCATTCATTAAAAGGAGCAAATTTGTTCATTTCTATAAAGTGTGGCTAGTGGAACATATATATATATATATATATATATGTACACACAAGTCATGACCAGCTGATTTTTTAGCACATTAACATGGGATGGCACAAAAGAAAGAATAAAAATGAAAAAGGGAAATACCTTAGTAAAAAGATAGAGTTATGGGGCAAATCAAATAGTGTTTCACAGCTATGTACGGAATAACATTTTCAATCAGCAGTCAGCCAGCATCAAAGTGAGTGTGTCTGAATGACATATATTTAAATGAGCAAATGAGTAAATTTAGTATTTGCTGCTAAATAGAACACCACTGAATTCAATCAGACCAATAGAGCCCCTTTGAGATTATACGTATAATGCTCAAGCAGAGAAAATTGAAGGATTCAAAAGCTTCAAATTACTGTTGAATATATGCGTTTGTGCACGCATGAGCACAGACTGAGAGGCGAGCATGTGTGATGCCCTGTTTGGGTCAGGTAAAGGAGTGAGCCGGAGCCCCCCGGGGGGGGTATATGTGTGGGAGAGTGCTTGAGATTGGAAAAAAAGAGTTAGCGGAGAGGCAGGAGATCACGCTTTCCTATCAAAAGGGTGGGTGGGAAATCAGCTCAAATGAGAGGGAAAGTGGAGGGGAGGAGAAGGAGCAGGAGGGGGGGGGGGCCGGATGACTCACCGGCAGCCAAATGCTCAGCAGGAAGAAAATGACAGGGGAGAGAGCAAGACAATGGTGCGTCTCCTGTGAGGCCCGGGGAATGCACCTCTGCTTTGTGCCGACTTCCAAATTTAAAACATCTTTGAGGTAATCGCTAATTGAGAGGCAATCTTTAGTTTAAAAAAAAAAAAAAAAAAGAATGTGTGTGAGCCCAAAACTAACCCACCCCCCCTTCCTCCTCCTCCCCATGAGAAAAGCCCAAACTGTGAGCCAGTCGCTAAGAGTCTTTGATCCAATTTCACTTTGAAGGATGAGAGACAAACAAGCCATCCTTCATCCTTTGCAAATTAATTCATTTCCCATCTGACTGTAGAAACGGGATAGCCATTTGCATCCAGAGTCCAGGACGATTAACGGGCCTTATAGAGGAATCAAAGTGGAGTTTTGTGCTGCCGGCCGACTGCACGTGGACAAAAATAAAGCACCGGACACAACGGTACTCAACAACACAGTCCTCCCAATTTGACAAAAGAGTGAGAAAACAACAGGGGGATCATTCCAAATCCTGAGAGATAAACAGAAAGACAAGGGGAGACAATCATCTCCTCTATGGAATCATAAATTAAATGAACAAATTAAAAAGCGTTCCCGCTTTAATCAGTGTTGAATATGGATGCGAGCTGAACCGGGTTTATATCCCCGTCTGCTACTGAAAAGAGGTTTAACACGCTTGTCTTTTGGGACATTAGGATACGATCACAGCCAGCAGCCCGAGCCGGGCTTCAGCGCCGCTGACAGCTGCTGAGTTAAGGGATGATCATATTGAATTTTAGTTTAGAAGTACGTGCCCATTACGCCTTCCGTTCAGCGCCGTCTCTCGATTAAAGAGCATGAGCACTTTGGATTTGTCATGTCATGCTGCCATTTTTTTTTTTTTGTCCGAGTCAGTGCGTAGCCTGGCTCCTGAAGGTATAATTAGCCCGTGGCTAATCTTTGAGAAAGATATGACTGGGTTCTGCCAAAGTGAGCTGTGGTACCCCTTATTAAATGATCCATAAAAAACGAAGCTTTCCTTACATTTTAATGCCAAATACGTGTCCAGAAAATGGCATACACTAGTTTACTCACCATATTACTCATGTAATTTTAGATAATACTTAAGTAGTAAATAACTAATGCACAATATGTGTGGACATTTATGTTTTTCTGAGGTGTGTGAGCCTGTTAAAATTAATGAGCCATGTGTGTATTAAGGGTGACCCCTGCTGGTGAGCAGAAGTTACTGAACAGAAAGAGTATGAATAACGAAAGACGTGTTACTCAAAACATTTACTGTCGTCATGTCGTGTATCCAGGCCAACTCCAGGTTGGCCTCAAGCTCTTTTGAACACCTGCCAGTAAGCTCCATGTCAGTTTGAGTATCCTGACGACAAAACCGGGACCTTTGGACATCTGACAGGAGGAACTGTTGTTTTTAATGAGCTTCCTAGTGCCCTAACGAGCCTCTTTTCTTTACCGTCTCAGACAGAAACTGGAACGAGTCAGTTAATTCGAGTGTGAAAAAGGATAAAAACATAAAAGCTGTCAAAAATCACTTTTTGAGGGATTTTAATTGAATTTTTTTTTAATCACTTAAGGGTCAAATGTTATTCTAGATGACATCTAATTAGTATCTTTGGCAGACAGCAGGTGACCGAGTGGAGCAGAACAAGAGGCGCTCTTTGAGAAAAGGTAAACAGATGTTAGCCTGTTTTCTAAATGTGTAAAATGTTTTAAGCGGCCCAGTCAGTGACGGTGAGAAAGAAAAAATAGTCCGAGGTAAAAAAAACGGAAACCACACTTGTCCCACTTTGTGACTAAAACTCCATCACAAACTCAAGCTAAGTCAAAAGAGAGACATAGAGAACATATTTATCAATCATCACCCCCAAACAGTTAGCCAGATGTTGCTGTCAGCTGCTGTGGGATGATGAATGATTTGAAGCATGGCTAAAGTGGTTGGGAACACATGAGTAGTTCCAATCACAAAGTATCACTGTCATAATATCACAGGCAATGAAAGCCCCCGGACTCACTCTGCTCCTCACAGAAGCACGCTCAGCCACAGTGGTAATGCATTATTCACCTCAGCAACAGCTCCTCCGTACCAACGCCCGGCCCGTGTGTGGGCGCTATTTCATTTTCCTGTAAGCTAAGACATCCAGCAGCTAAGTAAATGAAGTCAGAGCACAATGTCATGTAATAATCGACCTGTCCATTTTGGCGGAACGCAACAGAGGAAGGTGTTTGCAGTGCACACAAAGGCTTCATTCACAGGCGATCGCACAGCACACACACCGTCCTCACGCACATAGTATCAGCCATTTTTCCCGGTCATATTAGTATCATACACTGCGGCATATCACAGAGGCCAAACACAGCAGGTTTTAGAGATAACATCTACAATCGTTCTCTGGACCAACATTTAAATAAGGCTTATATTACAGCTTCAAAAAACAAGGTGGAGTTTGATTACTACATATCCAGTCAGGCTCATCATTTCAATTCAAACAAGCACCACTTTGATAAAATCTGCATTAATTAGCCGTGATTTTTAGCTTAAGAAAAAAAAAAAACATTTTTATCTGAAAGTTTTAGAAATGGCATCTCTCTTTAATTTACTAGCAAAATAGAAAGTTAAAATGTCTAATCTTGATCATTTAAATAACTTTTAGATGAGGTAATACGAAGAGCATCACTTTTTATGGTCTCTGTAGTCCTTTTCAACCCGTTCTGTTTGGAAATAAATGGCACATGAGGATACAACAAAGGAAATTCCTAGAAAAATAAAGGTCAAAACTCAAACAACAACCTCAAAAGCTGAAGTTTAGTTCAGAAATTGAGAAATCAAATGCCCTGACCGCGGTCACCCGGCACTAGGAATAAACAGTCAGCCACCTTCCAAACTGTACTCAGCTACATTAATAAAAAGGTTATTACTAAAAGGCAAAGTCAGAGCAGAGTCGTGATGGAGTGGTGCACTGGGGTGTTGAGAACTAAGTGATTGGACATTATATAAAGCCACTGTGCAGTTTTGCTCTGTCAGCGCTTGACAAATTGAATTTGTACAAGCTGATAGTGACAAATGTTTCCTGTGACGAAGCAAGAAGGGGAACATTTTTAAAGCCTGCCATGCCAAATGTTAAAATACTTTCAGAGCAGCCTTTATTTCACTCTATTGTACAAGGACTGACGTTAACATTGTTAAAGTCACTTTAATGGGAGGCATCAGTCTTTTCTATTACTGTCAGGTAAAACACTGTGGGTGTGTTTGAGTGATGCTAGATAAAGGAGTGTAAGTGGACAAAACAGTGGGATACAAGTGCATTTGGTGCTGTCAGGGCTATTGATTTCTGTTCAAGAATGTCAATATTATAGTGCGCGAACACTTAACTATTCGAATCATCTAAATTAATTCAAACAAACAGGGTGATGGTGCCAAACCTCCAACCACCTGACAGTTTAGCAATGCACCGTTCTTAACTTCAACAGACTGTCTTCACAAAGATAAATGGAATTGATTCTAAAGACAAGGCAAAATGTGGCCAGCGCAAAGGACCAGGATTTGACCTCATCATGCCGCTCGGATGAGTAAATTCACGATAAGTCAAAAGGTTTGAAAAAATTTGAGTTCATGTTATTTTCATCAAGCACAGATCTACTCAGACCACAATCTAAAGACAGGATTGGATGTCCTCTGCTGAATGCCGGAAGAAAACTTGAACAGCTCTTTTTGAGAGATGTTGATGTTACACATAATGCAACACAAATCCTTCACAAGAGGCTTACTTTGCTCGGTATCCTCAGGTTTTCCACAGGACTGAGGTCCGCCATACTCTCTTGGGGGCTTTTCAGGCCCTGGAAGAGAAAAAGAGAGTACCACACAACCTTTTTTTTGTGTATTTTTTGTCGTTTCTTCTCAGGTTAACCTGCTCTCGGTCTCACGAGGTTCAGTATATAACAGCACAATGCACCATTCGGATAAAAGTAGAAGTAACAGGGAGACTTATGACAGTAATATTATGCTGTAAACAACTCCAGTCTAACATGACTGCTTGTGGGAACTTCACTAACCGCCATGTTCCCACAGCTTGCTGTTAACTGCTTGTTTCGGCTATATGTGTAAACACAAATATAAATATCCTCTTAAATTCAACGCAAAAAAGTTCCAGCTGCAATGCGCTCTTTAAAAATTCCAGTTACGAAAGATGACAGCGTCTTTTTAAAGAGCCAAACGGTAAGCTGTCAAATTAGCCAGTTCGGTTAGCTCGCTGTCCTGCTAGCTACCTGAAAATGTGGTGAAACAGGTCAGTCTCAGAAGGCTCGTTTTACTCACCTGACGGGCCATAAGAGACTTGATCTTCTGCATCTTAAATCCAACAAATTTTTGCGGTAAAAACTGAGAAGGGGAGCTTTAAATGTGCCTTGTTGTCATTAGTGCGATTCCATCATGACGAGAGGGAAGCCATAGTTTACCGTCACGTGACTGGCACGGCAGGAAACGGAAGAGTCCCAAAGCATTCTGGGAAATGCATTTCTTGACGTGTCATCTGAGTAAGCGCTTGTTGTTGTCAATCATGTTTTAACCCGGAAAAATCTAGTCATGGAATAGAAAATATGTGCTATTTTGGAAGTAAAACAAAATTGGGGTTATAATATTGTAGAACTTATCATGTAATTGCGTGATGCCGTGTGTTGCTATCAAATTATACTACTAAATTAACACTGGATGGTAGTAATATGCACAGGAAACAGGTCTAATCTAAGGTTAGACATAAATTCATTTTTCTTCCAGGTATCACAGTTTGAAAGGTACAGATATTATTGAATTAAATTGATAAAGAAAAACTTAAATAAAGAAAAAGAGTGAAAAATATGTTTTTTTTATTATCATAAACATGTATATATTTGTATTTATACATAAATGAATTTATGTATATATTTTAGATTTTAATTGTAGTATTAAGTACTAAAATTTTGTATCATATTATGTAATCTATTGCTCAGATAAAGTATTTTTCCCTAATGAAACAGCTACTTTCTCCTTATTTCCATTATTTTATTGGATTCAAGATTAGATAGATAATTTATCTGTTGGCATGATGAATCATAGGATGTGAAGATGTTATATTTAAGAACCATGTCAACGTGCTATGTCATCCATGATTTTGCAATGTACTTCCATCTCTGCCAAACAATCAGACCAGGCCCTGTATTGTACAGCGTTCCAAAAAATTACAAAACTAATTCAACCTGCCATGTAATTGCTCCCGCAGGTGTCAAATCAAGCAGCACTTGGTTGAAAGCAGGCAGCATGCCGTAGGCGCTGTGAGATCTAGTTCCTGGTTAATGATGCCTCAAGCTATTTCCCAGTCAAATGAAGGTGAGGCTGCTCTCCTTAGGTGAGTTTACTCCTGTGTTGTTTGTTAGGCAGTCATCCACATTGCCGAGCCTCCTTTAAAGCATACACTGAGACGGAGCAGATGGCCACCTCTACCCAGAGATGCCACCACAAAGGCATAGCACACTCAGTTGGCCTGTTCAGGGGCTATAATTAGAGCTAGATTCATTAAGCCACTTGTTGTTATGCAGGGGAGCCTTGGTGTCAGATGCACAGTATAAATTAGGTTTGGGACCAGAGTGTGACCATTTTTAATCCTTAATCATTCAACAAGTCATATTCAAAGATTTTTTCTATATTTATTCAACAAAATGACTGGACACAAACTACCAAAAGAGCCAAAGATTAAGTATTCCAAGTGTATATTTTTTGTAATATATTCAGCAATTTATTTTTTTTCCAAGCTTTTCTGTTAAGTCGCATCACAGAATGAATATATGCCACCTCAAGGGATTAAAATTTTAAAAAGCAATTTTTCAATGATGAATTTGGTATATTGCACATTGATTCAGAACTTGTTTTTTTAATCAAAGGGCTTTTCATTCTAACTCTAACACATTAATGCTCTAGTACAACCAAGCCCACACAAACATTTTCCTATGTACTCGTGACAAAGTGTTAGCAGGAGCAGGTGGAGGGCACTCTCCCACATGCTGGACCATCCGTCTGTCACTGCTAGCCTCCATATTACGCCAGGTACACAGCATACTAATACACCAAATGCTGACACAAACAAGCCCTCCTCTGCAATTTTTGGACTGATAAATAGATAATCTTTTGAGAACAGAGATCGTAGCCAAGACATCAGGTAAAGACCGACTGTGAAGCAGCAAAACAACTGACAGCTTTGCTGGCTTTGATTATCCAGTTTATTTAGACATCATTGTTCAGGAAAATGTGAAACACAAAGTGATCGTTTAAAAGCCCTGACTGCTCACATGATTTTACAATCAAAAAGCAGATATAAAGACAAATACAAATGTAACATCCAATGTTACATGTTAAATATTATACTGTATATATCATGTATTGTATTATCGTTGTTAGGTTGTAGTGGTCGGTTAAATACACATTCAGATGACACAGAATAGTAAACAGTTCAGTTTAATAAAGTACAAACACAGAAATGCGAACTGTACAATAATCTGTCAGTTTTTAAGAATTTTCCATATGGAGCTTTTTATTACTGTCACTTAGAGAAGGGGAAAATAATGCTACATTTGTAGAAACAGAGTAAAATACCTTAGTAAATAGATAGTAAAACAAAATTCTGGTGATCTGTTTTCTTTATGATCCATTGATCGGGTATTTCTTTCCTCCGGGTATTATTGACGTTAAACAACGTCAATAATGACAGAAGCAAGTATTTCATTGAAATATGAACCCAATTAGTAAAATATGCATATTATATGATACTATATGATTTGACCTCTTTATTTACCACGTTGTCCTCATTGTCTAATTCATTCGGTACTTGCAGAACAGCATCTGTTAAATATTTCCTCAGACCAGGCAGCAACCCAACTGCCAACATTGCAGCTAAAGCATCATAGAAACCATGGCAACCCGTCTACAGGTAGCCAAGTACACAAGTTCTTTGTGACCCGACTTAGTAGTAGATAAACACCCACTTTTAACTGACATGAATGTATGATCTTCAGCACAATTCTGTGTTGAAAAGCTCTGTTTTCCACCCTTAAGTCCTTCTAACAGACAGAAGGGCCTGTTCCTCGACTGTTTAACACTTCGTTTGCAGTGCTCTTATCTCCATTAAGAATAATTGCATTTTGCCTGCCAAGTAGCTGCTTTGCCATGATTCAAAGAAATGAGCAGCTGATGGGGCTGTTTAGAAGGGAGAAAGTCGCTAAAACTGAGCCTCTCAGAGAGAAGAAAACGCTTCCAAATGCAATCTATTACCCAAAACATTTTACGTGAGAACTGGTTTGGTATTCCACAGTGCAGAGAATTCTATACATTCTTAATCGATGCCAGCAGGTGCTTTTCTGCTAAGCCTCAAGCTGCAAACACAAAAAATTACCACATTTTGACCAATTTAGAAAACAGAGTACCGGAATTTTCTTTCTATCCGGTTGTTATTTGTAAGTTTCCACAGGATTGAACAGTTATGAAAAATGTAGTAACAGAATAATTTATATAAAGACTCTTCACGGTTTTCCATGTACAGTATTTACATTAAACCAGAATCAATTAACAAAAGAAACTGCATTCATAATGACACTTCTCATAAAACATATGCTATTAGCAGGAAAAGTTGGATTAAGAATATGTTATAGATATTCTTAAATTCATAGAATAAATTACTTATATTTGAAAGACAATCAGTGTCTGTGTTTGCAGTTAATTTTGTTGTATGACATCTTCAGAAAAATATCAAACTCATTTGATTTAATAAGGATTTCACTCTCGAATGGAATCAGGAAATTGCTCAAACTTCAGTTGTATTTTTTCACATTTAAAAGAAAATAAGAAATACGCATGTTTTTATGTCACGATTATATCAGTAAAAGAAATTGAATGTACTGTATGTCCCACACTCCCAACGGTAACAGTGCACGATCAGATTGTGTCCTCCAACGAGACGCCTTCTTTCCTTGTGCAAAAAATTTGGCAATCACACCCAGAGCTTTAGCCTTCAATAACAGACACTTGAGAGAATAAAGCTAGACAGAAGTCTTCCAGTGCAACGACTGTAAGTTACAGCTCAAATTTCCAAATGAGGGTCAGTTGAGCAAACTGTGACTGGGGGTTTCAGGGACATGTCTGATCACATCGTAGATGGTGGTGTGCATATCTTGAATTGACTCGAGGCGAGAGAGAGACCTGCATGACATCTGGGAAACCGGGAAAAATTCAAACGTCAGTTTAAAAAAGCTTGCTGCGTGCCCTGCAGGGGCTCTGCATGTCCGCCTACAACATACCTGCGCAGACTCCATTTTCCCAGGTATGGACACAAACTCATAGATGCCGAAATCCTCTGTGGCATCCTCGTGACCTGTTGATGATGTATTGTGTATTTAAACATAACACAATGCACACTTCCAACAATATTCCAACAATATTATCTTCAAAATGATAATGTCAGACGTGTTTCTATGTAAACATAGAAACGTACAAGTTATGCGGGTGGGCTAGCAAATGAAGTGGTAATGGTGCAGGAAGGTAAAAACAGCAGTTTACCTGAACGATGTGGTCGTTTCTCCTCTGTAAATGGTCTGCGAAAACATCAAAATAAAGCAGCTTATTAAAGGTTCTGTACTTTGAAAGGCTTGGCGATAAATGCGGCTTTAAAAGTCTCATACCTGTTATAAATGGTCATGAGCACTGTTGATATCAGAGTGACAGAGAGAAATCATTAACAGAAGCACCACAGATAAAACTCTAAACATTACCTCAGCTTATTCAAATGGGGACGCTACTTTGCCGTGGTTATTTTCAGTTTTTGTTCATTTGCACGTCATTTACATTTCTGAGTAAGCTTGTAAGAACTTCCTGGCAGTGGGAAAAGGCAATATGTTTGGAAAACATTTCTATGGAATAGCAATAATCAACAGTTCCAAACATGTTCAACAGAATGCAAGAATAAATAATAGGTCTGGATACAAGATTGTTAAAAAAAAACAGTTTTGAGATGGTCTCATATCTCAAAGCAAAAGCTAGAGCTGGTGTCTAACCTCTCTTGGGATGGCACGTTTTCCTGAGGAAGAACAGCAGCATGCAGCCAATTATAAATAAAGAGCTGACAGTAATGGCTGCCAGCGGAGACACGGATCCACTTTCCTGGGTGTGCTTCTGTTTGCCTGTTAATAAACAACAATATGATTGATTTAAGCACATTTTGTTTTGAGGTCAGCTAACAGTGTGACTCCGTGGATGACAGGGTTGGGTCATCTATTTGTCAAGACTGACATATTTATATACCAGATTTCCACGAACTGTTGACATTCATGATCCTCAGAGGATTGATCATATTAGTTTAGACGACTTCCCCCCCTTCCAAAAGGAGGTTGATGTTTTTGTTGGGTGTGATAGATACACAACATTTTTAATGCAGTCATTTTAGCATTTTTTAGTTCATGTGGGTGGCATAAAACAAAGATCTAGATATGTCAAATCCTCATTTTAATCTTCTGAAAACCATCATCTTTTAACTTTTTTTATCAGAACTTTTAACCGTTGGATCCATTGTTTGGTTGGGATTGTGTGAAAAAAAAATAAAAGGAATGTAAAGTCTAGAAAAGCACAAAGAAAAAAGTTATGAAACAACATATGCCCACCAACACAGAGCGACGCAAACAGTCTGCATATAGGGAAAAAGTGACAGCGGAAACAAAAGTCTAATCCAAAATTTGCATGCTATTAATTCACTGCGCACAGTAGCTCGAAACCAGCTCAGACCACTTCTCAAAAGTGAGATCACTCTGACAACTGTCTACTGCGGGTAAAACCCTAACCGCTCATCATAGCGAAGATATGATGATGTCACTAAATGTTCTGACACCACTTCTGCTCTCTGATCAAATCTGACTTTAAACTGTTTCCAGTATCAGCAGCAGGCATCCATGAGCCCACCTCGGTATCGCCCGGACAACATATCCACGTCGCGCTCGGCACACAGAAACTACGTGCTATAAAACTATAAAACAAACACAACAGCTCTTCTGCGCTGTTTACTTTCCCAGCCTCGGAGCTCTAACACAGACTCCGGGCCCTGGAACCTAGCAACAGTGATAAAACCTGAGTTTCTTATTAGCCATGCATATTTTATGTCAGATCCATAAACAATTGTGACCACAGGACAATGCCGCCGCTGCAGCAGCTACCACCTGTTTCCCGAACCCAGCCAGTGATTATTGGCAAGTGTCATCTCTCTGAGCTTTCGGTCTTCTGCTTTTGGCATGACGCGGTGTTTACGGAGGGGTTTATCTAAGAGGATTCCCAAAGCCTACCCACGCTCTGCTCGCTCTTGCCGTGTTCCACCCTCTACCCACCTGTTCCTAAGCTGGCCACCACCAGAGTGAACTGGGCCTCGTCCTGCTTCTGCGTCACGTTGTTGAAGGCTCTACACAGGTACTCTTCGGCCTGAGCCAGCCGGTAGGAGCGCACTTCCAGTCGCGGGCCCTCGGTGATTATCTGGGACCCGTTGTGGTTCTTGGAGATCCAGACGTAACTGTTTGGCGGGTTGGAGTCGGCCTGGCAGTCGAAGAGGACCAGCTCTCCGGGGTTGATGGTGAATACCTCCCCCGTCCGTAGGCCCTGGCTGGAGTTCACCTCCAAATTGTACGGGCCATCTGCAGGCGGGCCAAGGAAACATGACAGTTTGTTCTGTTAAATAAGCCCACATTGCCCCATCTTTTTTTCTTTATTTTGCTACTTTCTCATTACATTTTACAATAATAATTCCCTATATTGCCTGAAAAGATGAGCCCAGAACTTTGACAAGGTACGATATTTTAAATAACATATATGGTGATTAGTCTATATGGTGGGCCACAGCAAGGATCTGGTAGAAAGTTTGAAATAACACAGGGTCGTAAGCTTGAGGTTAGCTTAGACTTTACTCATGAGAATTGTATTCAAAACATAATTTTCCTTTGTTTAGTTTAACTGAGCATCAACCTGACTGAGGCAGAGAAACGTAAATCAACAAAAAACGTAAAACGTGTCTTAAATTTGGATGTGGAATTTCAGATTGAAGGTCTGTTACCCCTAAGCACCGTGGACAGTACATGTTGATCTTTTGCACCTGATAGGTTGAACAGCCTAGCTGGATCCCTAAGTAAACTTTGTTTTAAAGCTTGGCATTTCACTTGGGGAATTAAGTTATGATCAGTAATGTAATCGTCTCCATCAAAGTGACACTTGAAAAGCTGTTTTTTTTCCTTCGTTCTATCCAACAGGACTGGATGAGCAGAGCAGCGGGCCAGCAGTTGTGTTTGCAGTCCAGCCAGTGTTAAAACGTGCTTCATCACGTCATGGAGGGTGTGGGGTCATCCACAGGGAGTCTCATGCACAGCCTCTTATGATGGCTCTAAGGTCACAAAGGATCTTTAAAAAAAACGCCTTTGAAAGGTGTGATTGTGTAATAAAACGACAACCCCCACTTCGGTTACCCAATCTGAGTTTGCTCTTGTGCATGTGGGAAGTACTCCATGTACCATGATCCCCTCTTTAAATGTTTGTGTATACCTCCATGAAGCAAAGCGCGTTCATTGAAAGTAGATACATTTCTTTAGAGAACAGATGAAGGCAGTAATGTGAAGTCTCAAATAGTCGAGTTGGAATGGGGCACTTCTTCATTTTAGCATCAGTATCAGATCAATGTTAGTGTCAAGTGTGCTGACAGGAATTCACAACCCCTGCCTCTTTTGCATAAAGGGAACTATTTAGTGTTTAGAACCAAGTCTGAATGTGAAATAGCGAGACATATTGTAATCATATGTCCTGTGGAAATTAGGACAGGCTGAAACGAATTCCCGGATCAGGCCCTTTATTCAAAGTAAAATTGAAAACAATAAAGCTTTATCAGAGTATCTACACTTTTTTAAGGTAGGACAGACAAGCCCTGTGAGATAAACCTGCACCCATGCAAATGCCGGCCTCTAACAGCCATGTGTTTTTAGCTGTCAGCGAGCAGGCGGGTTTCACCCAATTTACATGCGACCAATACATCCAGGATGGTGCGCCAAAGCCAAAACTCATGTTAGGACACACTCTTAACAGTTCGCTAACAGCACACAGCACCAGCGACCCCCACCTATTCTTCTCCCCCCCCCCTCTACCTCACTAATTTACCCAATGCTACGTTAAGCATTTTCTGGTCTGTTGTTGCAGATCAACATTGCACATTTCAATTGTTAATTTGCACATTCAAATCTATATTTTTAAAGATTGTTAATTTGTACATTCAGATTTATACTTTTAAAGATTGTATTTTTCAGTTTTATCATTCTGCCCTATATCTTTATTTTTACTTTTTATTCTTGCTTCTCATAGAAGTGTTGTGTTGTGCACTAAACACCAAGGCAAATTCCTTGTAAGTCTGAAAACCTACTTGGCAATAAACCTGATTCTGATTCTGATTCTGATTCTGCAAACTCGTTTAATTTTAATGTGTGAATCATGTTCAGTTAGCTGTAGGTGGCATTAAAAATGAGGTTTGGAAAATCAACACCAGGATAAATTACCTTATAGATAGTGAAAAAGTCTGTGTGATTAAAAAAAACGATCCAGTGTGAATTTGTTTTACCAAAACTGCAATCAAATTTCCAATCAAAATATTGCTTTTCTTTGCTCTCAGATCAGAATTAATCCCCAGCGGAAAAAACTAAATACAGGGGTGTTTTCCACTCAAATCAGAGATCTAAGAGATTCCCCTTAGACTGAGTCTTCCTGCTTTTTCCCATACATAGATCGAAACTAGGTGTTAATCTTCACATCAGATTCTCTTTTAAGCATCTGCCCCTTGGAAAGAAAATGGAAGAAACAGACACATCTACTCACAGTAGACATTGAGTTCCACCGATCTGCTGTCCTGGCTCTGGCTCACTGGATTGCTGGCCACACAACGATACGTTCCCTTGTCCTCTTTTCTCACAGGGCTGATGAACAGCATGGAGTTGTCATGATTGAGGTGGTATCTCTTACTGGGAGCTAGTGGGATATTATCCTTAAGCCACTGAAACACGACCCTTGTTCCCATCTCAACTGCACAAGTCCAGGTAACGTTTGCCCTGTCTTCTATAACTGCATAGGACGGACTCTTCTCAATGACTGGATTGGAGACAGGAACTAGACAAAAGAAAAACACGATGAAAGATTTGAAGTGGGCTTCTTCCAGTTCTAAACAATAATATCAGACAAACATTGAACTCACCATCCACTGTCACATGAATAGTTCTTTCCTCCTTGATAACAGGTCCCGATTGGTTATGAAACTGTATGTTGAGGCTCAGCTCATAATCCCCTTCATAATCTTCACTTAATTTTTGTATCAGCAAAGAAATGTTGGGTTTTCTGAAGACAAGGTTGTTGCTGTACCTCATGTTAGTGATCGTGTCTTTTTTGTCAAATGTGACCAACATCTCCCTGGAGCCACTTGGTTTGGTGTGAGACCAAATTCCCTGGATCTCAACGTCATCCCACGGGAAGTGGGTCTCGACAGACAGAAGCAGGGCGCTCCCCTTCACTCCATGATGCACCAGTGAAGGGATGTGGATTAATCTGGAGCTCACCTCTGAGTTAGTGGAGACAAAATGAGGAAGAAGTGAGAAAGAGGAAGAAATATGGCATCAGGTTATCCATTAGATCTCACAGGTAAGATGCGGCCTTCATACTGACACAAACTCATAGTGAGCACTCAGTTTGCCAAATGATTACATTTTCTTTTAGTAAAGTAGACTTGGCATCTCTTTATGTTTATTAAAGAATGTGATCATACAGATATGCAGTAATCTTAGTACTCATTTGGACCTTTGCATTCTGTGTTATTGTTGACACCTTTGGGGAAATGTATAATTTCTTTTTGTTTCTTCTGAAAAATGAGTGCATAAGTGAATCTTTTTCAAATCTTCTGGTTTCTGTCTATTCCCATTTCTGTCTGTGAACGTTGTGAAGTGAGATTGATACCTTATAAAGCAGCTGAATTTAAGTGGGATGCACAAGATCTGATCATGATTAGAATTATCAAAGAATCCATTATGCACAGCTTCAAAATATCCCATTAATGGCAAAAATGCCAAATTATGGGTCTCTTTTGCTAATGTCACAGTGTCCTGGTCAAATCATTAAGTTCAAGTTTATGTCATACTGACATTTCTCCTTTTTCTGAATTTATCTCAATGACTAGTTTCCTTTTTATTACTCTTTCTGTCCTTTTCCAGTCTGTTCTCTGTTTTTCAGTTAATCTTTCTTCATTTCCTCCTCACACTCATGGCCTGACTTCCCCTCTGACCATTCCTACTGTGTTTGAATATTGTTTTCCCTCATATACACCATGCCTTTATTTCTTTGACAGATGTATCAGCTATGCCAGGTTTTCTTCATTCATCCCCAAGTCGTTCTGTCCTTGGAGTAGGTGATCTAATTCTTCCTTTTGTTTGTTTCTTGGTTTCTGCTCTTGCCAGCCTTTGGACAATTGCCTGTTTTTGAGTCCCACACCTGTTTGACACACATTTCTCTCTCTTTTCAGTTTGCCTTTGATTTTGATGTTAATTTTGTCCCGGCTCATTTCTGTTCTTATTGCTTCTTGTACTTGCTCTGCACCTGCTTTGTGTTTGGCCAATAACCTCACTGTTGTTTTTTCTGCCACCCACACCACCAGTATGTGTGCATACTCTGCTGTCTCTGTTGTTTGCTGACAGGTTGGATGATTTCTTGTAAATGTATGACTTCAGCTGACTACTTTGTAATGTTTTTGGGGTGGGTTTGGCTTCGAATTTGTTTGTTTCAAACCTTTGCCTTTCCCTTTTCTTCTGTGAATTTTTCTTGCTGACCAATTTTCTGTTAATTTCCCCCGGTTTCTTTTGATAAACCTCACCTGTTAGCTTCTTAAACAGCTGTGTCTGAGGTTAGACCCCCATCACTACATCACAGTTAGTTACAGGTTATGTCTTTGACAACAGTCTATCACTGTTGTGGCTCCTGTTACAATTTGGACTTTTTTCTGTCATAAACTTCCTGGATCGAAATGGACAAAACAAACATATTCTGTCATCAGGTAACTGGAAGAGGTGAAAGGAAACTGAAAGAGATCATTTATTTCTGGATCCTGCTCTTCAGCAAGTCCATGTCCTGAAACCGTAGTGAACTGATATTGACACAGCTAACTACAAGGCATCATGTTTGTTGAATAAGGATTAGGCCCGACTGATCTTGACTTGCCACCGAACAAACACTGCAGGTTGCTGAAGTTACTCCAATTGTTGATCCATTGTGTGTCTCTTGTCTGTTTAACTTAAAACTGGTTGCCAGGGCAGTTTGTTCAGTGATAGACGGGTAAGAAGCTCAGAGCAAATTACATGGAAACAACAAAGAAAAGAACAAATTTAGTATTGTTCTATGGAAGATATTGTCATATGAACTGGGATATTTCAATCTTTTATGTAGCATTCCCAACCTGTCATGTAAATTTGTATTCCACAGTCAACATCTGAGCCATGAACTATAGTAAATGAACATCTTGAGTGTGGTATGTATGATAGTGTGGATTGCTTGGATGCCAGGTTGAGTGAAACAAGAAGTGCGATATGAACAAGAAGTTGTGCCGTAAAAAGAACTCAAAACCTCAGCCATTTTTTACACGGTTATTCCTCTTTTATTTTAGATTCTCACTTCTCTTTGTGGACCCTCTTCCTCCACTTCAGCCTTGACAAACAACAGAAAGCCAAACACACTTTAAACAAAATCGAGGGTGAAAATGAGATTTTGTTTTTGTTTTTCTGGTCTCTATCTTTTGCCATTCCTGTCCTCTGCCTCTCTGTCGGGCTGATCCATATTTCCTCCCCCTGACCTCCAGCCATGTGTCACCCTGGTTTCTGTAAGCGCAGCCCAAGTTGCTCATCACAATAGATCCTCTGTGCGCCTGGTGTTATGTCCTAAATAATACATGCAGCGCAAATACACTACTGCGACATGCTCCACTCTCAAGCCCGCAGGCCAGTTTCTGTGCGCGCTTGTGTGCGTGCTTGTGTTTGTGTGCGTTGTCAGTGGCCGGAGTGTGCCTGTGTTTACACCAGCTGAAAGAAAACGGGATGAGAAGAAGTGTGGCCGGCCCGCTTCTTTGCTGTTGTCCCCCAAACAGGACGGATATTGTTGTGGTGATAGAGAGGAGATTACGCTGACAATGGGCTTTGAGGTGAGAGGATATTATCTGGGTTTAGCAAACCCACCAACGCACGCTGGAACGGCCACATACGGAGACCCGACATGCACCTGCTCCTTATCACCCCCGCACACTTCCAAACTGTTTGGATTCTAAATAAGTTGCCAAGCGCGTACTCAAGCTCCACTGCGCTCTGTCATTATTCAGATAAGACCAACAGAACCTCTCACGAAGCGTTCAAATATCAGAGCAGGCTAAAAAATTCAATGTTTTACTTTTTTACGACTTTTTGAAAGTCGTCGTATGTGAGAAATATTAGTTCATGTGTTCTTTGAGTCACTTCTTCTTTCCACTGACCGTGTCTTTTGCAGCCGGTAATAGCAGACAAGCTAATTTTATACAGTCACGACGATGTGACTGTGACAAGGACAAGTACAAGAAATCACACCAACAGTAAGACTTTGGGTTTCACGCCCTGCAGGGAAGACAAGGTATTTAAGTTTTTAGAAAAAATCTGTGAGACATTTGACCTCATTTTACCTGAAATATTTTCAATTACATAGACAAACATGGAGTCTGGCCAGTCAGAAAAATCTAAATGTGATCGGTCAATTGTGCCAGTTGGGGCCCATTTTGGAACTTAGAGATCATTTTCGTTACAGCTCTTCAAAAACCACAAGGTTTCCATGAATAATTGAGCAGTCCACAAGACAACACGCGAGCAAAATTCCCTAGGTGACCCCTTGGTTTTTACCCTACCAACCATCCGAACACAGCAGCCTCAGTAAACACAACCCGGACAACTCGAGCACAACATCCCGCCACGGCATTTTGAAGCACAACACTCACCTGTTAAGACAAACAGAACAGAGCAGAGACACAGAGCTGTTCTTCTGGCGGCCTCCATGGCATCTTATCCCTTTAAGGGTGTCTGGGACCTCTGAAGTGCAGGCAAGGAGTGAGGGATGTAGGACGAAAGAGAGAAAAGGAAGAAAAAAGAGATGGTGGAGGAGGAGGAGGAGGAGGAGGAGAAGGACGAGTAGGAGGAGGAGGAGGAGAGAAATGTGACTGGTTGTGGTGACAGCATTTGCCAGGGAAATAAGAGGAGCTACAGCAGCTTTAGGCCCCTCCCAAGTGACACCGGGAGCAAGAAGAGGTTCACCTGGCACCACCAAACACACACACACACACACAAAAAAAAGCCACCTGAGGGGAAAGATCTAACTCTGTCAAACGGAAACTGAGACAGAACTGTAAAGAGATAGCTAGGTTTCTCTACCACCGGCTGTCTGCAGCCTCCCTGCCCTAGGCTGTGAAACAAAGCGTTTCACTGCTAACATCACCTTGCTTTTTTTTAAGCCACGGAGCTGTTAGAGGACACGACCATCAGCGATCCGCCGCTCTCCTCAGCAATCTGTTGTAAGTCTGGTAATAAGAGGACAAACGGAGACTGATACTGAGCTGAAACTGACTGAGGAATGTCCTGCTGCTCTCAGCCCTCAGGGAAACAGACACAAAGAGTTTCCAAAAATAGTGGCACTACATGTGCTGATCCTCATTTTTTAAGCTGCTTTCAGAAAGTTTTAGTTAATTGAACGTTGTATCGCAATATTCAAGGCACCAGATTTCAAGAGAAATCCACTTAACTTGGGCATAAACTTACATTGCTTTTCAGAAAAATCCGTCCCTTTGTCAGACGCTCAGTGAATCTTCCACTCATTTGTTTTCTCCTTTTGTTCAGTACAGGCCCGTCCTCTGAAAAGATGTGGATAGCTTGGGACTGAACTCCACAGTGAATGAATTAGACTATTGTAAGCTGACTAAATGAGTGCCTAGTCTGGTGATGGTACCGTTAAAGAAGCGGATCATTTTTCAGAAAATGTGGAGTGTCATTTAAAGGAAAAATCAAAGACAAGGATTTATTTATTTTTTACGAAATTACAGTATTTATTTTTCTGTGGAAATTATTTGGCCAATATATATTCAATTCATTCCCCATTTAATGATGAGCCAAATGTTCTACATCTGTTTGTTTGATTAATTATTATTGTTTATTTTTTTTATTTAAATAAAGACATTTCCAGCATTTCTTTGCCTGAGACACAACCACTGTTTAATTTTAACCTGCAGAACCTGCATGTTTCCTCATTCCCTCTAGATGGAGTCAGTGTATCAGCAGACAACAGCATCCCAGTGGTTGACTAAATAAACCAAACACCACTTCCAAATTAGTCACTGAAAATGTTTACTCTCTTTGGTCTTACATATTTTAACCCTGACCATGCCATACCATGTCCTTAAAAAATGTCAGTTTATGGTCCTCTAGTTCCACTTCCAGAATCATTGAGCAACATAAATATGAGAACATTCAACATAAGCAACATAACAAAGTTGCGGATGTTTAAGTTCTTTTAATTAGTATTTTAATTGATTTTTTATTAATCAAAAGAGATTCTAAACATGAAAAACGCGTCTTCTAAATGATTTGATTAGGCATTTGGCTCATTTTTCTGTTTCTGTTCCCAAAGACTGAAATAACTTTTTCACATCAAAACAAGAATATTATAATCAATCTTATCTGTATAAAATCATATTTTACAGCTTTATATTTATTTTTATTTGGTATCTTGCATGTGATCTTTTTTTCCCTTAATTCCCTTAATCATCTGTAATCTCATATTTACATGATGTTTATAAGTAATTTACGATTCAATTTTCTCCGCCTTATTTTTTTCCCCCATCTTTTTCTCATCCTATTTTCTTGGAATGATTCTGAACATAAACAGCCTTATACTAACCTGTTGATTTACATGAATAAATGAAGGACAGAATGAATAAACACATTTGATAAGGAATAACCACCTGGTAGTCAAAGGATTATACTTTCAAGGTGTGCTGGTGTTTTTCAGTGACCAAAAAACAAAAGAGGCAAAACATGAGAGCTGATGTGTATTTTCATTCAACACGGAACAACTTAAGACGAGGGGATATTGAGAAACCAACAGAGCTTGCTTAATGGCAGGGTCAGGATATTTTGGTTTGTACTCTGACCTTTTAATACAACTCCTGCCTGGTGACTTATAAGTTAGAAAAGTACATGCATGGTTCAAATGGAGAGGATCGTTTGAAGCTAGCCTGAGTATGCTGCAGAAACTTTGTTGCTAGCATCACAGCAGTTTCCTGTCTGACCTATGTTTTTCTTAAGTGTATTCAAAATATCTGCTATATGAAGAGAGAACTGGATTTGAGTATGACGTCGCCACCTACACACATCCAAGTCATCCTTCATACTTTCTCTTACTACACCTCAACATCATTTATCATCCATTTTTTTACTCCGCCTCAAGATCTTCTTTTTGTTTTCTCTTTTTTTTTTGTCTTCAGCGTCTATTTCTTCCTTTCTAGTTTATCCTTCTTCCCTTTTTTCAGCCTTGGCCTCCAGCTGCAGTTGCTCAGTGCAGACACAGCACAGCAGCCCACATCAAGGCCGCCCAATTGGCATGTGAGCGTGTCTGAATGTGTGTGTGTGTGTGAGTGTGTGTGTGTGTGTCTGGAGCAGTCGTTACAGTGGGGCCACATAGGGTGTCACTGGCCTGTGTGATACACGGGGCCCCATAGGCTTCATTTCCCCCCCCTCGCTATGCTAAGGAGCTCATATAGCTGTGTTGTAATGCTAGAGGGGCCCCTCAGTTTCATCAGAGAGGATGTCGAAGGGCAGAACGAGCGCACAGGCAACGTCACTTCACATAGGCGTTTGAATGTATGTGTTTATAAAGAGAAGTGTGGGTTTCGGAGTCTGAGGTTCGATGATAGGGGGATGTCAGTCGCCTCACAAAAAAGAAAGTGGGGTTAAGTGGAGCTGCGGGGGAGTAAAGAAAAAGGGGTGGGGATGCCTGCGAAGCCCAGTGCGATGCGATTGGATGACATGGTCTCATTCACCCAGATTTATATGAGTGGGAAACATAGAATGTCAGACACGCTTCACAAAGAGTGTGTGTGTGTGTGTGTGTGTGTGTGTGTGTGTGTGTGTGTGTGTGTGTGTGTGTGTGTGTGTGTGTGTGTGTGTGTTTGTGTGCGGGGGTAGGCCGGAGCATGTTTCCCGTATGTTCTCATGTGAACGACGGTTTTTCACAGTTGCACTGTTGAACCCTTTTATCACCCTGGATCTGACTAGTTGTGTCGTGTGTGTCGTGTGTGTGTGTGTGTGTGTGTGTGTGTGTGTGTGTGTGTGTGTCTTCCCGTCCCAGAGAGCATAGACTCGGTCAGTGTGAATCTTGAAGAACGCCGCCAGGCTAAAAAAGAGGCAGAAATTGAGGCAGCGTGCATGCCCAAGTCCCCTAAAAAAGAGCAGCTGAACGCAGTTGCAAGCAGTCCCGAAGTGTGCATTTGTGTGTGTCTGTCGCTGTGTGTGTGTGTGTGTGTGTGTCTAGTGGCGAGAGCCTCACCCCTTTAACGCATTCCACTATCTTGCGCCCACGCACTTACCATGTGACCCGCAGTCATTGACAGGAAATAAGCCGATGTCAAATCCTGCTGCCCAGATCCTCTTCTAACATCCAGTCAAAGACACAGCTTTGTGTTCTCACAACACACCCACACAACGCAAGGCTCAATGTAAATCTACACACACACACACGAGTGCCTTTTTCAGCATGTGTGCACTATTCTTGCCTACTGGCATAGCCTGAGATTTTGCTTGTGAATACATTTGAGACACTTTTATTTTGATGTTTCACTGGCTTAATTCCTCTTTCACAGCCATAGATGGGAAATTTTCTGTTAATGGCGAGAGCTTTCCTAAACAGTCATGTTTGTACAGTGTAAATCCAAAGGTACACAGATGCATTGTCATGTTTCCTGTTCTTCATTCTACAGCTCCTCAAAACTAAAGAAACTGGAATTGAAACGTTCTTACGCAGAACAGACATGCTGGGAGGCAAAGAAAACCAAAAGCCTTCACTCCAGACATGACTAAGAAATTTTGTCTGAGCTACGCAAAGTGTGTGTTTTTACTAATCCGCAGAAATTAAAAAGCGTGCAGTCATTCCGTGCAGCAAAAACGTGTTTTGATTGATACTCCAGCAGCGTTTGGATGAACACACACACACACACACACACACACAACTATAAAAACATAGGTGTTTATGTCGCACATGCCACAAACTGGAGTAGTGTGTGCTGTTCTGCGTGTGGGTGGGTGCACGTGTGCGCATACAGAGTTGAATGGACACAGCCGGCTCTATGTTCCCCTCCAGCAGCAAAGCTTTGGCTGTGAAGGCAGACCGGGATCCCAGACTGAAAGTCGGTACTCCCTTTGCTCAGGTCTGTGCTTGCCCTCCTCCTTTCGCATGGTGGTAAGGTGCAGCATGAGAGGAAACAATGCTGTCCACGCACCGATCCTTGTTAAAAAAAGTTTGCTGACTTCACGGGCACAGTAACATCTTCCAGTAAACCGAAAGGAGGTGGTGACACTGTGTGACATTAACCAGCAACTCAACACACTCTTGCACATTAAAGATAAAGAAAAATCTCACTTTTATATCTTTATAAATGTTTATCATCTCAAAAAAATTATACAGTGAATGTGTTTTTAACTCCCTGGAGTGATTTCAAGCTTCTTTTCTTTTTCCACCAAGAGACGGGAGATTAATGAAATTGCAGACTTCCTGTGAATAAGAGAGATGTTGTAATAACAGTGGATAAACAGCTGGATGGGACCTATTACACCCCAAGGATTTTTAATAAGGAAGTCCCTTGTTTGAAGGTATTTAAATCTTAAATCCACCAACCAAACAAGATCTTAAAGTAGGAAGAAAAAATAAATGTGGTGGCCTGTGTGGGAGCAAGTGACTTTTGTTGGTGTTCATGGGGGAGAGAAGGGGAGAGGGGGGGGTGGGGGGGGTGGGGGTGCGTACAGTTCATGACGAGGGCATTTTAAAACCACCCGCGTCCATACAGCAATGGGATGTCTGTTTTGCATGCAGCTTTTTTGATATGACAACAGGTTCTGGGAGGTCCATGTTGTCCCTCTCCAGTCATGTTTTTCCCAGAGTTTAAGTATAACCATCACTGTTTCTGTAAGGAAACTTACAAAAACAAAGCATTTATATATACTGATATGAAG